GTAAAAACATAAAGGAATGCAATTGTTAGGAATAGCATAAATGAGACTGATATATCCACAAAATCACTAATGAAAAACCTTGCAAAATAATAAAATGTTACTCTAAAAGTTATCTATTCATCCAGGTATTAAACACCTGAAAATTAAAAATGTATTCTTCTATAACACAGGTATAACAAATATGCCTCTGGAGATCTTGAAAAATAGTATTTTCTAAAAACTTCTTATCAATTATTATACTAAGTTCTGTTGCTTAGAAGTGTACAGTAAAGTTTGAAAGGCCTGTTCCTTATTCTTGAAGGAGCAGACATGGAGGGAGAAAGGATTTTTTTAGAAAAGAACCAAATATGATTGGAGAAAGGCATTTGTATGGATGTGGCCTGTTGCTTATTCCCATGTCTAATAACTGTACATACAGTAGATAAACTGTATAGAAAACAGAGTTGAGTATTGCAGTGTTACCCAGAAATAAGTCCCAAGTGAAAAGATTAACAACTGACTATTATAAAACCATTGTAGAAGAAGTCTGTAGGGTTCTCCATTATAAAACTGATTGCCTAATGGTAAGACAGCATTACGTACAGTGGATCTCTTGGACCATTGCCAGATGGTTTCCAAATCAAAAGATTCATCCAGCTGCTCATCTGTTTCATTTATATCCCACATTTTGTACTGGAACTCAATGTGACTTACATAGACTCCTTTCTGTTTTTCCCCACAACCATTACCTTGGGATTTGGGCTGGCCTAAAGCCACCTACTTTCTTAACTGAGTTTGCCTCATCTTTACTTATTGGAGGGTGGGATAAACATACTGTAAATAATAGAGAAACTGTTTGCAAGCAAACAGGCATCAGGTTGACTGCTGCTGGAACTATAATATTGGATGGTTTTGCATTACCAAATTGTTTGGTACATAAGCCAATTGTACAGAAAGTTACTGTTTGTAAGAAACTATTTTATATTTATGTTCTCTTAAGCTTCATGGTTGGACTTTTATGTATCATTAAACTCTTGAGATTAATTTTTCATCATTCTAATTGCCTGATTTCTTTATTTCTTCCTGCAAATGTGAGGAATGGGAATTTGTTCGATGATTTTTACAACAAAATAATTCAATGCAAATTTAGCAATAGCATCTAGACTTATATACCAGCCCACAGTGCTTTACAGTGCTGAGTGGTTTACAGAATCAGCATGTTGTCCCAACAATCTGGGTCCTGATTTTACTGGGGTCAGAAGGATGGAAGGCTGAGTCAACCTTGAGCCCATCAGGATCAAATTTCAGGCTATGGGCAGAGTTAGCCTGCAATACTGCTTCTAAGCATTACACCACCTGTCAGCTTTGGACACTGCTCTTTTAGAATCTAAAAATTTAGAGCATTTAAATCTTTTAGAGCATTTTCACATAGTGATTCTATACTGGTTTGAGAAGAAAAAGTCAAACCTCTGTAATGCCATGAGGTTGGCTCATTCAGGGACTGAACCAATCTATTTCTAAATCACAAATATATGCATCTTCAGTACAACAATGATCTTTTGGTGGGAAAAACACAATAGTTCTATTCTGTAATTTTCTCAATTGCAAAATCTTCTGCCTCACCCTGATTCCTGAACTTTCACATATTTCAAAGAAATAGGACGCCTTCCCTTCCAGTATGTAGAGGTATTTTGCACACAGTATAAATAAAGAACATGAGCAGAGAATATGTGTTCCATTTATCCAGCAGGCCTGATATTAACTAAGGGCTGGGCAGAGATTTTTGCACCATGATTGCATTTCAAGTTTGGCAGGTTTCAAGATAATTGTGGAATGTCTTCAACCATCATTTGAGAAAAAAGAGAGAGCAGAATTCAAGTAGAAGCATATACATAATTTCCTTTTAATCTAATGAAACTTAACCAGTTCTTACTTTGAGTGCATTTAGAGTAATTTTTTCATTGGTCTCATTCATTGTTATCTAACATAGTATGAACAGAGGTATACTTATGTTCTGACCCAAGCCTCATTCAAATCAAATAAACACAAAGTATATATAAAAGCAACCCTTTTTAATGCGTCTCTGTGAATTCTGTTCATTCACAGCAAAGAGTCATTAAAATTAATTGTCCCAGATAAGAGCAAGCCCTTTCAACGTTGTGAAAGCTGCCAAGAACACAAGATTAATTGCAGGGAAATATCCAAAACCAAAAGTCTCCGAAAACAAACCAGAATAGACAGGACTTCCACAAGAACTTGGAGTTGAAAGAACTTCTTTGCTTCCTGCAAAGAACCTAACCCCTGAGGGCTGGCTTTTATCCCTTATGAGAGAAGCCATCATCTTGCAGCCTTACTCCCGAGTCACCCATGCTGCTGCAGCTGCTATTTCATTCAAGGAACCCTGTGCATGTGCACTGGGCACAGGCTCCTTGAGGTCCTCTGCATCACTGATGCCAGACTCCACAAGTTCCGAAGGCAGCACCCCACTGTCCGATAGTCCTGGCCCCATCACATGCAGGCCCCTCATCCGAGTCCCCGCTCTCAGAAACCTCAGCCGTCTGCACCTGCTGCCGGCGAACCACAACAATTTATGGTGAAAATGAAATCTTATTAGGCATTGCATTAAGGTATCATATGTTTTGTTTTGATTTTGCCTATTTCATAAATTTCTCCACTGTAGATGTCAACCACGATTTAAAGCATAGGACAGTATGTTGTGCAATCCCAGTCATTTGTGGCTTAGTCAATAGAATACAAGTGGTCCTCAACTTGCAACCATTTGCTTAGTGACTATTCAAACTTACAAAAGCACTTTAAAAAGTGACTTATGACCGGTTTTCATTGCAACATCCCTGTGGTCACATGATCAAAATTAGAAAGCTTGGCAACTGTCATGTATTTATGATAGTTGCAGTGTCCTGGTGTCATATCACTTTCTGAGAGAAGCAAGTTCAATAGGGAAGCTAGATTCACTTGACAACACAGTATCAACAGTGGAGACCTTCAAGTTTCTAGATTCTATCATATCTCAAGACTTAAAATGGACACCTAACATCAAAAACATCATAAAAAAGCACAACAAAGAATGTTTTTTCTGCGCCAACTCAAAAAGCTCAAACTGCCCAAGGAGCTGCTGATTCAGTTCTACAGAGGAATTATTGAGCCTGTCATCTGCACCTCTATAACTGTCTGGTTTGGCTCTACAACCAAACAAGACAGAAACAGATTTCAAGGGATAATTAACTGCAGAAAAAAATATTTCTGCCAACCTGCCTTCCATTGAGGACCTGTATACTATATGAGTCAAAAAGAGGGCTGTGAAAATATCTACAGACCCCTCACATCCTGCACATAAATTTTTCAACTTCTACCCTCAAAACAACGCTACAGAGCACTGCACACTAGAACAACTAGACACAAGGACAGTATTTTCCCTGAATGCCATCACTGCTAAACAACTAATTCCCACAACACCCTCGAACTATTTAATAAGACTTATATCACTATTATTCTTCTCATCCTACCTATCTTCTCCCACTTATGACTGTAACCTTGTTGGTTGTATCTTTGCAATTTATATTGCTTTGTTTCCTAGTATGATTTGATTGCTTATTTAGTAACCTATGATTATCACTAAGTTTTGTATCTTATGAACCTTGATGAATGTATTTTTTTCTTTTTATGTACACTGAAAGCATATGCACCAAAGACAAATTCCTTGTGTGTCCAATCACACTTGGCCAATAAAGAATTCTATTCTATTCTGTTCTGTTCTGTTCTGTTCTGTTTTATTCTGTTCTATTCTAACAAGTACAGTGATTCCCTTAAATCATCAACCATGATTTAAAGCATAGGACAGTATGTTGTGCAGACCCAGTCATTTATGGTTTAGTCAATAGAACACAAGTAGTCCTCAACTTGCAACCATTTGCTTAGCGACTTAACTGTGGCAAGAAAGATCATAAAATGGGGCAAAATTCACTTAACTGTTTTGCTTAGCAATGGAAATTTTGGGCACATTTGTGGCGGTAAGTTGAGTATTACCTGTATAGCCAAGCATAGTATGATGTAGCAACTCATCTATTCCAGATGTGACTCATCATCTCTTCAGTGTCCTTTTTCTCCTATCATTTTCTCGTCTTTGCTTTTGCTATTGATCATTGTTCACATTACTGACAACAAGTTGCAAACAGGATTTGGGTTAAACTCCACTAAATATATTTTCTACACAGCATGTGGGTTTATATAGTCAGGTGAAGGATTGGCTGGTAAGAGATTAGGAGGAAAACGGGGTTGATGAATCCAGACGACCAGGAGATGACAGCAAGAAGTTGGGAGTTGGACAACTCCAGCAGGTGGTCCGAAATGTTTTACAGTCCGTAGCTAACACCCACAAAGCAAATAGCTTCGTTCAGGGGTGATGTTCAAGAGATATTCTTTGGTATGTGTTAATTATTTTATTATTAAATAAGTGTTATGTTTCAATAATACACGTTTCGTCCAACGAGCCGCTCATGTCATCTTTTAAAGATGTGGCTTAATTTCCCAAGGATAGTCGGAATTCTTCGTCCTTCCCATTTTTCACGTTCGCGCTCATTTATGATTTATAATTCGGTCTTAAATTGATATTAGATGCAAGCCTCCGCAGCGGCTAATTGGGCTCCCCAACCCCCGATTCCCCGTTAGCGACGGCCGCGAAATCTACCCCGCTGAAAGTCTATGGAGATTCTCAATCATCCAGGTCACGGTTGACTCAAAGGTGTTTTAAAAAGAAAAGCACCTTTGGAGTCGCCCTCTGAAAGCCGCCAAGACTCAGGCACCGGCCGCCTTAATAGCCCACTCGCCCCGCCCACCCGATCCGACTGACCTTCCTAAGATGGCGAACGGAAAGGCTCCCTGAACCCCGTCCGAGAGTTCCGAGGCAGTTTGTGTCGACCTTCCAAACATGGCGGAGGCCCGGGCTCTTTCCACGGCTTCGCCCCGTCCGGCGAGGGAGGCACTCGGGGCGGTTCCCCGCCTCCTGGCGGGTGTGGCCTGCCGGCGAGAAGGCAGAGGCGGCCCTGACGGCGAGGAAAGCCGGGTGGTTGCCGATGAAAACGACATGTGGACGGCGGGAAAGGTGACCGGAATTTTATTTCACGGGGTCTTGGCGGCTCTAGTGCTGCTGGGAGCCCGGGACGTCTTCTTTCAGTATGAAGAGAACCGGTGCAGCATGACCTACATGTTCGACTACCCGGAGTACCAGGTGAGTGGCTGGGCGACAGGCGGCGGCATGCTGCAAGGTGTCCCGTTTTGCCATCCCTTCCGCGAGTTCTCCCTGAGAGAGGCTGGCCCCGTCCCCCTTCTTATAAAGAAAGACCCGCTTTCTCTATAATGGAGCTCCTGAGCAACTTGGTCTCTGGCGAGGCGAGACCCCGTGCAGGCTCCTCTCCGCAGCCGAGGGCAAAGCATCACCCCGGTCTCGGGGACAGCTCCTTCGGAGAAAGACCGCCTTGCCTTGTGCCCTTCAATCCGCACTTCGGAACGGTCCCTTTTCATCTTGCTTCATTTCATTCCACCGGCGCCCGTCTGTCTGATGTGTGTGTGTGTGTATCTGGTCTCCTCTGGTTCAGTGGGAACCTCCCGGGGTTCAAGCGCTATGTCGGATGCCCTAAAACAACGGCTCTCCAAAGGTGGTCTGAGGATTCCTGGCGGTTCTCGACACCGTTTTTTTTTTTAAATGTCTTGGTTTTGATTCCTAATACGGCAAATATTCATACAAATAAACGCCAAAACTCTTGGGGGTCCTCACTCATTTTTTAAAAAATGCAAAGAGTGGAGATTCTCAGTCATCCAGGTCATGGTTCTCCCAAAAATGCTTTTTCATCAGGCATCTGGACTTTGTGGCAAAAGTCTAGTTGTCTCTTGAAAAAGCATCTTTAAGGATAAAGAGAGACTAGTTTGAGACCCACTGCCTTAGAGGAATAAAGGTGGCAGTAAATTGGTTCACTATGAAAAGACAGCCCAGCTGATATTTGGAAAACCTGTTTTCCAAGTTGGCTTGGATCTCAAGAATCAAATATTTCCAGTCCAATCAACCAAAAGTCAGAGCTGCATTAACCTTTGTAACCCACTAGAAAGTTGCCAATTGCTTTGCTATTTAGTAATTGTGTAATAGTGAGAGAACATGGGTGTTGAACAGTAAGGTTTCATTGGATTCAATCCAATAGTCACAATGTATTTTCTCTGTGAAGGGTGATACAACTTTTCTTTTTCCTTGAAGTAAGTGCTACAGGTAGTCCTTGACTTACAGCCACAATTGAGCCCAATGTTTATGTTGTTAAGTGAGACATGTGTTAAGTGAGTTTTGCCCCATTTTACGACCTTTCTTGTCTGTTGATAAGACTGCCACTGATAAATTAGTAATTTGGTTGGTAAGTGAACCTCGTTTACAGGGGTGGGATTCAAATTTTTTAATAGCCAGTTCTGTGGGTGTGGCTTAGTTGGTGGGCATGGCTTGGTGGTCATGTGACTGAGTGGACATGGCTTGGTGGTCATGTTATTGGCTGGGCGTGGCCAACTCAATATCATCAAGGCACGCATCTCCTCGCCTGGCCGCTCATGACTGTGGGGATGCTGCAGCAGTCGTAAGTGTGAAAAATGGTCATAAGTTACTCTTTTCAGTGCCAATGGTCACTCCACACAAGCAAAGTACCAGCAAAGGAGGGGAAAAAAACTCCAGAGAAGTTCCAGAGACAGGAAGTCTAGCCCTGCCAAGAATGTAATAAGGGTTAACGGAGAGGCAGTTTCTGTAAGCAACACCAGAGTGTTTCCTTCCTACCTTCCTTACAGGATTAGGCCAGTAATTTCTTCTAACAACCGGTTCTCCGAACTGCTTAGAATGTTAACAACCAGTTCTAGCAAATACGCGCAAAACTGGTAGAATCCCACCCCTGCTCATTTCCCCATTGAGTTGGTTTGTCAGAAGGTAGCAAAAGGGGATCACATGACCTTAGGACACAGCAATGGTTATAAATCTGAACCAGTTGCCAAGCATTTGAATTTTGATCACATGATCATGGGAATGCTGCAAAGGTCGTAACTGTGAAAACAATCATATATCACTTTTTTTCAATGCCTTTGTAACTTTGAACAGTCACTACATGTGTTTTGTCTTGTGGCTTCCAAGTTCTCAAAGTATTTTCCTATCATTATCATTTTCTGATGATAACTATGATGAAAAAATTCAGTACTGTTCAGTCTTTTCAAGAGCAGAATAAGTAAATTTTATCCTAAAAAGATTTTGTTTCTGTCAATGCATGCATTCCATGCAAAAGCTTTTCCCATCTTCCTTTTAAAGATGGCTATAATGTTAGCAATTTTACCATTATGAATAATGCCATGCGCTATTTACAGACCAAAACCAGTGTAGACATGTATCACAAGTCATGGGTATGATGGTATGATAGGAAAGCAAAAGCAGAAGCTCCTGCAACTCTTTTTCTTTAGTATCATTCTCTTCATGTGGTTGTTTTAGGCCTGGGAAGTGAAGCAATTAATCTGCCTTTATAATTATAATAAGTGTTATTCAGAAATTATTTTTGTCTACCTTGAAGTGATATTCCTTATATAGCATATTCAGCAAGCAAAAAGCTGGAAGTGTTTTTTTTTCTTCCCAAGTTGTTTGTTTAAAATATCCGTCATCCACAAAAAAATATTCTAATGTAGGGAATGAAAATATGATGAACATTAATAGAGTAAAATATTAAAGCAAGCAACTATGTAATTAATCCTAATTTGAGAATGCAGGGTCACCCCTAATACTGTAATACTTTCCCCAGAAGAATACAGGTTTGACTCCCAGAAATGTGCCTTGGATAGCATTCTGATTTTATAATTAATTTTTCTGGCAATAAGATCTCAGAGATGGCCCTTATCCAGTGTACAGTGTATAAATAGGAGGTTAATGTGAGAAGAAGTGGTATATAAATTCTTTGGATCCCAAGTTGGTTGTCACTAAGCTACTACAGAATACACAATGTAGCTTTTGTAAAAGCTATTCCTTCTGAGATGCCTTAAGAACTTTGATAATTAGCTTTAAAGTGCAGGTTACTTGATACTTTAGTTTGATACTTTGTATTTGATGCCTCACATGCTATTTCTTACTGACACCTCTAATGGACAAGAGCCTTGAAATATACTCTTCACATGGACTCCTGTAATAAAACAATCACACTTTCGTTTTTGGGGGAAAAAATAAAAATTTTGTGGAAAATGTTCTAAAATATGTTCTCCTGAGTAATACATGGGAAGGATCCCACAATTTTGACCAGGACTCAATTTGTTTGATTCAATTTGTCAAACAAAAGTTTGGTTAACGAAGTAAATATTTATCACACTTTCAAATATAAAACTTATATAGGAAATAGTTCTACACTGTTAAACTAGTCAATAGCCATTGTTTCAGTGAGGTTTATTCCAGGCAAATGGATATTGGTCTACAGGCCCTTGCCATATTCGTATGTATGTATGCATGTATAGTATTCAGCTTTGTTCGGGTATTTTCCCACGTCATTATAGTTGTGCTTTTGAAGTTGTAGCAACGTTTCGGCAGAATCTCATCTGCCATCATCAGGCTTCTGTATTGTGTTTGTCTGTGAGTCAGACTTTTACAGTTGTTTCAGTTTTAAATTTGGGGCTAGCCTACTGCTGTGCCAGAATGGTTTTTTCTTCATCCTGATTGGTTGGGAGTCTTGGTCTGTGTTTATTGGTCTTGGAGTTTGCTGTGTTCTGCTTGATTGGTGTTTCTAATATCTTCTGTCTGTTTTGTAGCTTTTTTTGTCTTGATTGGCTGGCAACATTGTGTTTCCTGTATTGGAGGCTTTTAGTGTGGCTTGGCTCTGAGTAAATGGACAGTTATCATTTATTAGGAAGCTAGGTTTCATCTGGGTGCCTGGTTGGGGTGTGTTTGAGCTGGAGATATCGGGGGATCTGTTCGTGCCCAGGTGTTTGTCTGGCTTGTGTTGTGGAGCTTTTTTTGTTTGAGAGTGCAGGCTTCCAAATAATTGACAGTCTGGTGGAATCATCTCTTCTATTCATGCTTTCAGGTCATTTTTCAATCTCTATGGCTTCTCTGATAATTCTGTAGCTGGGGTTTTCTATAGTGGCTAGGGTTTTGGTGCCATTGAAGTCGATGCTATTACCTGTTGCTTTCATGTGTTGGACTAGTGAGGAAGTGTATTCCAGCTTTTTTACTGCATTTTTGTGTTCATCCAGGCGGGTACTTATTTTTCTATTGGTCTGTCCAATGTACGTGGCAGGGCATGATGCACAGGGGACTTCATATATGCCTTGGTTTTCCAGGTCAATTTTATCTTTGGGGTTTCTTAGGATGGCTGCTATTTTTCTGTCTGTTTTGAAGGCAGTCTTGATGCGATGCCTGTGTAGTATCTTACTGATTTTGTCTGTAGTACCTATTATGTAGGGCAGGACAACTGTTCCATAGGTCTGTTCATCTTCTAGGTCTCCATTATGTCTCAGTGTGTTTTTGTGGATCAAGCCAGTGATTTTGCTTTTGTGGAAGCCGTTGGCTGTCAGTACTTTAGTCAGGGTGCATAGTTCAGTCTTTATGTGTGTCTTGTCTGCCAGGCGTTTGGTTCTGGCGATTAGTGTTTTGGCCACGGAGTTTATCTTTGCTGGATGGTGGTGGGATTGGGCATTGAGGTAGCGGTTGGTGCGTGTTTTCTTCTGGTATATGGTGTGTCCTAGTGTGCCATCTGTTTTTTTGTAGATTAGTACATCTAGGAATGGTAGTTGTTTGTTTGTATCCGTTTCCATGGTGAATTTGATTTTGGGGTGTGTACTGTTTAGGTGTGTTAGGAAATTATTTAGGTTTTCTTTTCCATGGGGCCAAATCACAAATGTGTCATTGATGTATCTTAACCATAGTTTGGGTTTGTGGGTGGCATTAGCTAGGGCTCTGGATTCACATTCTTCCATGAACAGGTTTGCAATGATGGGTGAAAGTGGTGATTCCATAGGTGCTCCTTCAATTTGCTTGTATCTTTGTCCTTTGTATATGAAATATGTGTTGGTTAAGCAGTGTTCTGTTAGTTCCATGCAGTGTTCTGTTAGTTCCATGAGGTGTTTGGGTGGTCGGTATTTATTTTTGATGATTTCAAGAGTTTCTTTTGTCGGGACTTGAGTGAATAGTGAAACCACATTGAAACTTACAAGCAGATCTTCTTGTTTCACATTGATCATTTCCAAGAGGTGGTATGAGTTTTGTGCATGTGAAGCTGCTTCTTCAGCATGGGGCTGTAGCAGCATGGGGCTGTAGCTGACCACGGCTGCTTCGCCAGCTGCCACACCCCTGACCCCAAAACCAACCAAGCTGATACATGCCAAGAACACAGACCCAGACCCCAAACTCGAAGCCAGACTAAAACCCAGAATGCTACATCATAGCCACCTGCTCAGGACATCACATCAGAAAACTCAGCAAATTACACCACAAGAACTCAAGAAGTTGCAACACAGCAAATGACCCAGGATATCACAGCACAAGACCAAGGATACCACAGCAATAAGTCTCACAAGGTCATCACACAAACCATTACCCAAGCTGTTACTACACAGGAGACTAATGGAAAAGAGATCAAAACACAAACGACCCAGGAAATTACAATGCAGGACCCAGGATACCACAACAAAAGAACTTGCAAGCCCATCACACAACCCATTACCCAAACTGTTAAAACACGAGAGGCTAATGGAAAAAAGATCACTACAAAACAAACGACCCAGGAGATTACAGCACAAGATCCAGGATATCTCCACAAGAAAACTCACAAGGCATCACGCAGCCCATTATACCAACATCAACTCCATCAACCAATCAAGAGGCAGCAGCGCAGCCAACCAGCCCAGCACACCAGCCCCCACCACCAGTATTTATAGAGAGACGGCAGCTCCGATCACACACTGCTTGCACTGGCACGAAGCTGAAAGCACCAGCCTGAGGATGGTGAGTGGGACCTAGCCAAAACGTCTCCAAGATACTCTTAATCTTACACGAGAAAAGACCCGAACACACCTAGACGTACATACCTGTACCCGTGAAAATCTATGAATATATATATATATATATATATGAAGCAGCTGCAAGCTCACATCACTCTGAGAAGCACAGAGCCGAAGACACAAGCCTGAAGATGATGAATGAGACTTCATCAAAACGTTGCCTAGATACTTCCAATCTTACGCGGGAGAAAACCCGAATAACCAAAGATCCACATACAAATACCCGTGAGAACCTCAGAAAACATATATATATATATTGCCACTTTTGGTAATCATATAATTATATTTCTTGTTATGGTCTTTTTCATTGTTTATTGTATTACTCTGTTATCTTACTTTTGTTCACATTCTTCTCATTTCTTTCTTTTTATTGTAAGTCAGTTAGAGTAGCCCCACAGTGAGATTGGTGGCAAACAAATTTAGCAAATAAATAAATAAATGATATACCTTGTAGTACAGCCTCCTGATAATATATATCTACACTGTTATTACTTAAAACAACAGATTTTTTAAAACAGAATAATGAAATGGAGACTATTAAAAGACTTTAGAGAAGAGTTCTGCAGATGTTGTACACATGACTTAAATTGGTAGTTGGAAGTTGCTGTGGGCTAAATTTGTTAAGTATAATAAATAGCTAGTTTAACGTATGGTGGGTGTGGGAATGTCAGTATAACTACTTTGGTTTTTGCAGCAAATCAACAGGAAAGACAAGTACTGGTTATCTTTATGATTTGTTTATCTGATTTCTGTCAGCTTGTGTTATTTAAAGTACTTTGGCTGAAATTAAGTAAAAGGCACAAGATGCTTAAATTGTAAGAGTTAATAGAGCTATGCAGTAATGCAGATTTGAAGAGGAAAATTGCTAAGAAAACTTCCAGAACTCTTTTTCTATATGCCTTGTATGATACGGAATCTCAAGGCAAACAGTTTTTGTATGTAGTTTCAGATTGGTTTTATACTGATTCTTATAATCTCATTCCTGATTGGTTGTTGTTGTTCAGTTGTTCAGTTATAACAGCAAATATGTGACCAGGTTGATTGTAGAATAGTAGAATAAATAATATGCAAGTTATAAGATAAGCTAAAATGGAAAAAGAAAACCAGACAGTTTCTAGTATATAATCTTGAGCATATCCCCCTCCCCCATTTTCAAGGAGACTATCAAGAATTACTTTGAATTACTTATTAATGAGGAACTAGAAGAATTATGAAATGAAATTAAATAGTTAAGGATGAATGTCAAAAGATGCTGACAATGATCAAGAAAGAGAAGAAGGTAGATGGAATAAATGTGACAATGTTGCAAATTGCCAAAAATGCAAGAGAAGCCAATCAGGATTTCAGGAAGAAACTTAATAAAGAATTGTTAATAATTCTTCACTATGTGCTTGTTAAGAAGCAAGAGAAACAATATTATATGAAGATATTGAAATTGAAAACAGGCATAGGAATACAGGGGAAAACTTTGAAAGATCTCCAAGCTCAGGAAATACCAACCTCATGCTGGTGTAGGAAAGGATATCAATGGATAGTTAATAACCAATTCCAAGAAATCCAACAAAGATGGAAGGAGAATTCTGAAATTTGGTATAGTAGAGATGTCAACATGCAAGATAGCTTAGAAAAGTCCTGTTACTTAACAAAAACATCTAATACTAGAAGATGAAATTAGATCAGCATTATGATCATTTCAAAGTCACAAAGTTACAGAGAATTGATGGGATATCTACAGAAATATGAAGAAGAATCAGTAAAGGTTTTAACCGAACTTTGCTTAACTAAGATAAAGTAGAAAAACATTACAAAATTTAATTACTCAAAGATATTGCAATATTAAATTAAAGCTTCTTTTCCAGTGAATATCTTGAATATACTTTACATAGAGCAGCATATGATATTTATATGATTGTATATAAAGATGTCTATATATTTACTATATATGGGGGGAAGAGTTTAGTATGTTGACTTGAGGATCCCAGAAATTAACAAGAGATAGCATAACAGCTATTATTCTTTTTCAGAAATATAGAAACTGGAGTTATATTAAAAATAATGATTATGTGCCATCTAATTCCATTATTTCTGGCTGTTCATGACAATTTGCCATGGCCAGCTCACCAAGGCCAACTAGCCACAGTCAACTTGCCCCAGCCAACTTGCTGCAGCTAACACGTCATGGCCAATTTGCCGTGGGATAACTCAGTTTGCTGTGGGACAAGAGTTACACTAATATCAAAGAAATGGTAGAATAGAATAATTAAAGAAAGGATGCAAAAAGAGATGACAACAATAATTTTTAATTTATTTTAAATAATTAAATTGAATTGTTAAATTGCCCCATGGAGAGTTGTCTCGTGGTGAGTTGGCCATGGTGAGTTGATCCATGATGAGTTGGCTATGACAACTTGGCCACGGTGAATTGGCTGTAGCGAATTGACTGTGGCGAATTGGCCTGTTTTGGTTCAACATGCTGTCTATAGCTAATGAGAATACCGAAAAAATATTAGCTTGGGGAAGGCTGAAATATGTGTTTATATCTATTTGATGTGGAAAATAACAATTGCCCCTGCTAGTGCTATAAAGTTTATAATTGCAAGGTTACCTGTGTAAGCAAATTGTAAGTTTTGGTTCTCCATTTCAGAATCTTCTCCAAAGTTACTGTCAGAAGGAAGAAGAATGCAAATGTTTCAGATTTACAGTTCTTTAATTACATAAAGAAGATAATGAAATATTCAAAAAGCTGTCACATTGTTTCAGGCTATTTAAAAGTATCTCTGCTTCATATTAATAGCACAATACATTTTATTGTGTAAATTTTATTTACATTGCAGCTGCTTAGATTCTTCCTTAATACCATAATGTTACCTTTCTTCTGTTGAAATACATTTTTTGTTTCAGAGAATAAAATTACCTAAGAAAATATTCAGACGTTACCCAGCCTATGAGCTATATCTTTACGGGGAAGGAATTTCTGCAGAAGAAAACAGAAATCTAATCTTAACAGGGATTCCTATTCTTTTTCTTCCTGGCAATGCTGGAAGTTTTAAGCAAGGTAAGCTATCTCTAAAGGAATAGAAATATCTCTATAGAATACCTAAAGAGGAAATTGCATGGAATAATAAACTTTACATGAATCTGTGTTTTACCTGAATAATAAATGGTTTGCATTTACAAGATTTCATTACATTTATTAATTACATTTTTAAACTGCCACAATTAAAACAGTAAAAAATGCAGAATAAAATGAAGTAACAAAGCTAGGCTACAACCATACCGATATGGAATCAAGGACCAAATGCCAACCAAAAGAGATTACTTTTGAAATATTTCCAGCTGGGAGCCAGATGAGTAGTCCACTGGGAACTATTCCAAAAGCAGTGCTAGGGAACCTCCCTACTACTACTTCCTTAAAGCAGAGGTCCATTTATAGTTTCTCCTGGACAGTTTGAGTTAGCTGAGCAAATTCCATTGAAATTGTGGTCCGTGGTGGCTCACATGGTAAGACACTGGGTCTCCACGCCACTGAGGTCGACAGCTCAGCTCGATTCCTGTGAGCAAATTAAAAAACTCACGGAGGGACAAGAAAGGAACCTCCCCCGATTGCCTAACAGCATTCAGGTGTCCCACGGGTAAAGATAACACCACAGAGTTTTCACAGAGGCAGGCAGCCTCCTCAGTAATCCCTGGTTAACACGTGCCATACGCTAAATAAATAAATAAAATCCATTGAAAAAATACAATAATAATCCAATAATTTGTAGCCAAGCCACATACTGTATATTATGTAATCTACAGTATCAGGAGCACTGTAAATTGCATTGGGAAATCTGTCTGTAACTAGTTTAGCACCCATAGCACTGGTGTAATGTGTTCCCTCTGGCAAATTCTGGTTAGCAGTTGGCCTGCTGCATTGTGAATGAACTGAAGCCTCTGAGTACTCTTCAAAAGATTCCCACATATAGGTGTTTGCAGTAATGTAAACAAATGGTAGCAAGGGGGTGAATCATTATAGTAAGGTCTTCCTTTTCAAGGTAGGGTCCAAAACATCACCCAAAAGTGGAAAAAGCCAGCACTGGCTGCAGTTTTCACCTTCTGTTTTAAATGGAGCTACAATCCAGAAGGACCCAAAAGTCACAGGCTTGCTCATTATAGGCTGCTAGTCCCTGTCAAGAGACTACTGGAGCAGACAAATATCTCTGTTGGACAACAAGTGTCTTCTTAAGATTTCAATTTAAGCCTCCAAGCATTAGGATAAGGATTCAATAAATTCTGAGTCTGGCCTGGAGTATCAATATTACAGTTGTGAATCATTAATGATACCCAACCCCAAACTATTAGATTACCTTTTCCAGAGGCTGCATGTATGAGTTAAATAGGAGTGGGAAAAGACTGATCTCTGACTTCCACAAAGTAGTAGCAACTAAGTCAGTTCCCCCTTCTCTGTCCTCCCTTCCCCTTCTCTAATTGGTACTACTGCAACGTATTACCCCAAATCTCTCACAGGTGGTCCAAAAGTACATGGATGACAATATTGAAGGCCATGAGAGATCTAATATGGCATAGATAGGTGTACTATCTTCATCTTGGGCATGACAAAAAAAAAATCTACTATCCTTGCTGTCTCTGTTCCACAGCCAGGCCTGAATTCTGACTAAAAGGGTCAGATAATCAATTTTCTTTTGAGTACCATACACTGAATCCCCACAACTGTCTCAACAGCAGTTCCCCTGGTATTAATTATTTTACATCTCTGAATCCATGGAGCTCACTAAAATTGCTGAGAGTGTTTCAACTTTTCTAAAGGTTCTGTTTCAAAATAATATTGCTGTTCTCAAGTTACACTGCATATTAAGCATGGAGTTTTGGAACTTGGAGTTTAAAAACAAACATTAGAAATGAAGGGTTTTTTAAAAAAAAAAATCCTCTTAGTTTTGTTTTCTGCCTCCTGATGGCCTCTTTTAGGGATCTACTTCATCATCCAAATCCAGAATTTTAATTTTAATTATCTCTGCTTCTAATATATGCTTTTTTCAGTACGTTCTCTTGGATCAATAGCACTGAGAAAGGCAGAAGATATGGATTTCAAATATCATTTTGATGTCTTCAGTGTGAATTTCAATGAGGAGCTTGTTGCACTATATGGTGGAAGTCTACAAAAGCAGACGAGATTTGTGCATGAGTGTATTAAAATAATTCTTAAATTATATAAGGTATGGAGATAAATGCATATGCATATTAGCTTTTTACTGTTTTGTGCCATTATCCCCATGATGCAGAAAATATGGAAGATGGCCTTGATGAACAGAGAGAAGATCCATTACCATGCAGTGATCAGATATATGTGGCTTGAGCCCATACCAAGAAAGTGATTTAAGAAGACACCTCAGACAGGTCCTCCCCACAATTCAGCTGAAGATAAAAAAGGGAGCATGAGAAGCAGACTCAAACTTGCAAGATTCTGTTATTATAGCAGGGATGTCAAACTGGTAGCCCGTGGGCCAGATGCATCATGTGAAGGCCACGCCCACCCCAGCTCCGCAAATGGGAAAAACTTCACGAAACGTCATGTGATGGCAACATGACATGGCGAGTTTGACACCTGTATATTATAGCTATTCTAATAAAGACAGCTTTGGGCAACAGTGTCAATTCCTTAGTCTGGTCCACTTTAAAGGATTGACATATTAACTATTAAATGGGAAAGAATTTGTGCTTTTATTATGTTTTCATTGTGCCTGATGTGAGATTATTTTTCTTTATTTTTTGAAGGGTCATGAATTTGCTCCTCGCAGTGTTGCTGTAGTAGGTCATTCCATGGGTGGTCTTGTTGCAAGAGCACTAGTGATTCTTAAACATTTCAAACCCGAACTTATCAATATTCTTATTACTCAAGCGACACCTCATGTTGCACCTGTGTTGCCTTTAGATCAATATCTTGCTGGTAAGTTCACCCCTAAGAATGTTTGGATTGGTAGAGTTTTATTTTGCCTTCCCCCTCTTTTTTGCTCTTGCTTTTTCACTTTTGAGTAACTGAATAAGTTTCATTCCCATTTATTTAATGGAAAACACTATTAGACATTTTAGAATCTTCCTTGTTATACCTTCTATTATTATACCTACTATTACTAGCAATTTCACCAGAAATGTGTTGTAGAGTAGAATAATGTGGAAGATGTTCAGTTTCAAAAGTTGATTTCTCTCAATATGTACTTGTTTAATCATGGCTTGCATATAGAGGTAGCCTTAAATTTTATGATGAAAATAATTGTACTTAAATATGTTCAGGCAGCATCAATGATGGCCACTTACGTGCCTGAGCTTAAGCAAGACAGGGGCTTAATAGCAATCATATTCTATTTCTGTGTTGTGTTTGGATAGGATTACTAGCTTTGGATTCTGAAAAAAATCCAAGGTACTCCAGAATTCTTCAGATATTATTTTCAGTTTCTTCACTTCTGTGGGGATTTGGATGATACTGTGGGACAAAATTTCCCCATAATGGTTTGACTGCAATTGCTGGGTTATGCTAACTCTATGTATTGTGGATTAGATAGTATGTCAATGTGAGTGAACACTGATATTGTAATGAGTGGAAATGTGTTTATGATGAAAATACGATTAATAAAATTTATTTTAAAAAAACTATAGCAGAATTCAAACATAGGAACTCAGACTAAATAAGATAGAGCTAAATTTTTCCATCTCTATTATATTACAATTACACAATCATCCAGATTTATGTTTTTAAAGTTCATATATATTTCACATAGCAGACATTTTTCTCTGGCCCAATTTGATGTATCAGGGGAACAACCAGAATATATTTCAGTGTTCCACATCAAAACATTTTTTGTATATGTTCAAATATGAAGATTGAATCTGTACCCCTTAGTCTATAAAAATGCCCACTTTATTAACAATAGCAATTAAAATTTATAATCCAAATTATTGCAATATGTCTCTGTGTGTGTATGAGTAGGATTTAGTTTGTACAGTTTTTTTTTATAAAATACTTTAATTTACATATTGAAATATGTTTAAATGTATAGAAGTAATTTGAATGGATATGGTAAAATATCACATTGGGATAAGATTACTGCTTTTAAGATGATTACAACTTTGAAATTAATGCATATCAATATGAATTTTCATTAAATATTTCATATATATAAATAAATGTTTATGGCAAGCAAAACTCTCTAGATATCTTTGACCAACTTGTGATTACCTTATGTAGAATAGAAGTTTTAACTTGCCAGATTTAAATTATCTTAATTTTATATATTTCTGGAATGAGATTTATTATTTTGCCTTATTGGTATGCTGAATTGGCTTAATTTTTTCTTGTTTGAAATTGGATAGTGAAAAAATGAGGAATTGTAAAATATGCTGATATGTGCTACAAAATGAACTATACTGAAGATATTGCTGAACCTCGAGAAACAAAACTTCTAAAATGATATTTAAAACAACATTCTTTTCATAGATTTTTACTCAACCGTGAACCATAACTGGATTCAGAAGGCTCAGGAAATAAAAAATCTAACAACCCTTTCGGTAGCAGGAGGATTTCGAGATTATCAAGTTCGCTCTGGATTGGCTTTTCTGCCCAGTTCAAGTAGTCAGAATTGTGCTTTATCTGTTGTGGTAAATTCTTTAATTTTTGCTGTTAAGCCTTGGCTTTTGATGACCATTAAATATTACTGAATAGTTTAGTTCTTTCTTGCCCTAACATCTGTCCTAATTGAATGTGACATTCTAAATTGACTTCTCAATTTGAGTGGAAGCAGTAGCATTCATTGCTACATTTATTTGGAAATTCTTCCATCCTCAAGAAATCACACATTATATTTGATTTAAAATTTTCTCTATAGAAGAAAATATACGTAGTTAAGGGTTGAACTTGATTGTTTTCTTACAGACATTTTGTTACCCAACTAGTATGTTGCATATAAACAGGGAGTAAAGCACACCTTCAGTAGCACTGGTGATATTATCTAGGGGGGTAATGAAATGTTTGCAAGCAAACAAATAAACTCAAGAGAACAAAGACTACGATTTTCTTTCTTTCTTTTTTTGCCATGTACAGCTTGGATTTTACTCTAAGAGGATGTCTAAAAGAGGATGTCTAAATCATATTAGCTGTAACTAAACTGTTGGCTCATACTAGTTTGTATCCAATTTATATAATTGTACTTCAGTTTTTAATCTTTATTGCTTCAGTTTATGAGGTGTCTCACAAATTCATTGAATCAATAAAGAAATCTGAATCTGCACACAGTTTAAATTAATAATTAATCTTATGTAAGTGTGTAAGACCATATTTTCCTGGTTCTTCTCAAGCAACAGTACAGCAGCATCCAAATGGCAAAATGAGCAGGCATTTCAAAGTATAATAGGGCAGAATTGTCTGCTGTTCAGAGAGGGAGAAAAGAGTCACATGTTCTATATAACATGCTCGGTTTTTGGATTTTAGTCATAACAATATAAACAGGATTTCAGCCAATTGTTTTCATCAAGACATTAGCTTCTAGTAAATAAATAAACGTTTGGATGTTCAGTTTTAAAATGAATAATACAAATATTTTTTTAATCAGAGTTCAGCAGTTCCTCGAGTCTGGGCTTCCACAGATCATCTTTCCATTGTTTGGTGAGTAGTTAAAAGCTTTTTGGTACAACGACTGTTATACTGCTGTTCAAATATTTTTATGTGACTATTATTTGACTTTTATTTTGTCTGTTTTTTACAAGCATATTTCCCTTATATTCTTTTTTAGGTGTAAGGAATTGAACTTGGTTACTGTCAGAGCATTTTTTGACCTTATTGATGACAACACTAAACAGGTTTGCATTCCTTGAAGATCTGTGCATGCTTTCTGGAAAAAAAACATTTATTGTTTGATTTTTTTTTTATTTTACATTCTTGCAAGTAAAGGAAGATAGCAGTGTTAGGAATATTACCCACATTACGGATCTCATTAGAATTATTAATACTTTTTTTTATTTATTAACCAGACTGTTACTGTCACTGTAGTGGCAGGGCTGATTTCATAAGATGAAAGAGTAAGAGTCTCAGTGTGTTTTCTAAGAAGCCCACTTCGCCTCCAGCCTTGGCATAAATATTTTTCAATCTAACAAGATATATATATACAAAATTAACAATTAAAAAAAATATATAAACATCCCTTTTTCAACTTCTCTCTTTCATATTCAAAATACCCATCAGTAGTGGAAATAAAAATAAAAGTTATTCAGATCACAGATTGTTACTGAAAAGGAACTCACATGGAAAAATTATGAAAGGTACTATAAGGCTCTGGCCAGATAAAAGAGCTTCCAAATTGCATTAAAATATGTAATATTCCAAATATGTATGGAGAACATAAAACACCAGGAAAAAAATGAAACATTGACCAGGCAACAAAGAAATTAAAGTTAGTGCCAAATTAGTTACTTTTTCTCTATTCCTTTAGAGAATAGAACAGCCTTGGAAAAGATACTATTTCTGTGTTAATTTTCTACTGGAAAATTCTGCTACCTGCAGATTCCAGTTTACATCTAAGCCTGAGGGGAAACAATTAATCCTATTGGCTTCCAACCTGTGATCCAAAACTTTTGCTTTTTTTTTTTTTTCAAAAGGAGAAACTATTCTGTATAGCTTAGAAAGGAAAGGGGCTGGGGAATTGTAGCCTGCTTGTTGCAAATGTGCCCAAACCCCTGTGAATCTGCTTGAAGCTCAAACTTTGTTGATTTTGTGTCTGGGAAGTATTATCTCCCATTGTTATTAATAATGGTTAGCCTCACATTAGGCCTCAAAAACTTGTTAAAGTTTTTGTTTTCGTGTTTGTTAATTGATAGATAACAGAAAATCCCCAAAGAAAAAATCTGGTCCTGAATCACCACTTTTTAAGGTATCCAGGAAAACTCTTTGAAGAAAGACTTGAATCGCTTACTGAGTTAACAGGTTAGTGTGTCCAGTGTTACTGTGTGTGAGAGAGACTTCATTTGATGAGTAAGAGTAACATTAAATCCAAAGGAATCAATATATTTCATTCATTTTTTTTCCTCTTAAGTTCTAGGAAGTAGCATAGGAATATTTTCTGCTGCAAAGATCAGATCATTAAGCCATTCAAATGATTTAAAATCTATTCAAAATCACTATTGCTAATTTAAAAGCTAATTGAAAAATAATAGACGACTGAATTACAATACTCAGGTAGTCTTCGTTTAGTGACTGTCTTATTTATTTATTGTTTAAAGTTACAAAAGTGATAAAAAAGTAACCAATCCCCACATTTATGACCTTCGCTGGTGCATAAAGCAAAAGAGAGCTGAAATATGATCATAAGCATAGCACTGGTTTCATTTAGAAACTGCTTTACTTAGTGACCAAATTGTCAGTTTCAATTATGGTCACTAAATGAGACTACCTGTAGGGAGTCATAGATCAGATCTTGTCTCAGCTCTGAACTTGTTAGATAGCTGCTTCTTTTTTTGCTAAGGATCTCATGTGCAATGCTGGCCTAACATTGTAGCATTACAAAGCCCAAAGGCAGGGAATAAATGAATAAAATGGTAAATGAATAAATGGTAAAAATGAAGCAATTTATTTGAAGATCAGGCATTCAAGTTTATAACTGCAGTTTTCCAGTATGAATACACATTTTTTTAAAAGCAATGTGAACTAATCTTAAGGTAGCTTTTTCTTTCCTTTCTGTAAATGCTGGAGTGTTTGTTAGGAACATTTATCTCACTGTGTCTATGTTTATCCCTTCGCTGTATGATGTCTGGGCCTGGGCAAATGCTTGCATTGCTGTTCCATATTTTCTCATAAATTGTTCTAAGCAGACAGCATGATGTGTGACAAAAAAAAACCCTTTTGAAGTAGGTTCCTATGTTGCAGCAACCAGTGTTTCATGATTCACTGTTTGTTATTCCAACTAAACTATTAAATACAAAGCTGTAAAAGCCTTACATATGTTTAAAAAGCTTGAAAAAGAATACAGTAGAACCTCTGGTCATGAACACTTCTGACCACAACCAAATCGGGTTCTGACCAAAAAATTCACTTTTTTTTTTCGTGGCCGATTTCCCCTTCCATGCCTTTCTTTTCTTTTCTTTTTTTGTAAGCACCAAATTTCCAAAATTAGGTTTGGGTCATGACCAAAGTTATGGAACAAATTATGGTTGTGACCAGACGTTCTACTATATTTGGTAATGATACTGATCAGAGGTGGCATTCAGCAGGTTCTGACCAGTTCTGGAGAACCAGTAGCAGAAATTTTGAGTAGTTCAGAGAACCGGCAAATACCACCTCTGACTGGCCTCGTCCCCATTTATTCTGTGCCTCCCGAGTCCCAGCTGATTGGTTGGGTCTTTTGTTGCCCTGCACAGGAGAACAGAGCTGGAAAGCAGGTTAATCAGGTGGGAAGGGAATGGCATTTTGCCATAACCTTCCCCCAGAAGTAGGTTGGGAATTGAGATTTTACAGTATCCTTCCCCTGCCATGCCCACCAAGCCACACCCACAGAACCGGTAATAAAATTTTTTGAATCCCACCACTGATACTGATGCTAATTTGCTATCTCCAAACTAAAATCAGAGGAGAAGAGTTTGTTTTTATCATTTCAAAAATATTTGTTTTTTAATGTCAAAAGGATACATGCTATTTTAGATTTCACAACAAAATTATTGTGGTATGGTACTACAGGACAGCAGGAAAAAAGTAATCCAGTATGAAGAAAAATATTGTTATTTTTTCAGGAGCATCAATTTGGATTAATATAAAAACTTCGAAATGGTCCTACAAAGGATACAATGTAAGTAATATTTTTCATTTAAAACAGAATTATTTATTAGCTTATGTAAAAGCTATTTTTTATTTTTTAAGAGGTCCTTTTTAAGTTCAGGCGGGTTTATTTTTCATCTCTAGCAGTGGTAATGTTTGAATTTAGCACCTTCCCTAGGAAAAATATGTGCTCTACCACTTATTTCTCTGATGGAAAATCTAGAATTGAAAATAGTGTTGTAATTATTGAACCAAGGGTTCCCCATATCCAGTCTAGCTGTTGAGATGTGCCAAACCTTTGTCAGTTTGAAAAGTTCAGAAAAAGACAACCAAATGTTTCGAACTCAGAACAAATCACCTAGAACAAATCATTAATTTCATTTTACATTTCACATCTGCCTGGATGTTTTTTAAAAATCGTCCAAGCCATGGAGATTTGGAGAGTGGATTAGTGAATAAAAAAAGCAGACACAATAAAAACAGCAGAGAAAGCATGAGGAAGAATTATTTTACATCATTACAGTATTGGTAGTTAGGTTTACTGATGAATTTAAATTCTTTGCTATGGAATTCATGAATTGTTAAAGTACATTATTTTCCCTCTATATCAGGGGTGGGCAAACTATGGCCCGTTGGTCATTTTAATACAGTCCGCCTCTGAAAAAAAAAATTCCCCTCTGAAAAAAAAATCAGGGCCAGCCAAAAGAGACCCCACGCCACGCGCCAAAAAATCGCACACACAACACGGAGCTGGGCAGCTGCTTCCCTGGTGGTGGGGCCGAGGCCGCTGCCCGGGGAACGCCCACTGCTTTCCCTCGCCAGGGCCGGGCAGTGGCGTGTTGCCCTGCGCCGCATGGCCCCCGCCTGGCAGCGCACTTCTCAGCTGGTCTCCTCCTCCTCGGCCATACAGAACAAACAGGCAGAGAAGGAGGAGACCAGCCGGCTGGTTGGGGGAAGCTTTCTGCACCAAAAGAGGCAGCTACTAATCTCCGGCTTTGCTCCGCTTCTCCAATGGTCCGGCACCACTCTGTTCTATGCGCCGGCTGCTCAGATTTTCTGGGCCTGACACATAGAACAGAGCATGCTGCAGGCATCTCGCGACAAGCCCCAGGACATGTGGTCACCTGCTGGCTGGCCGGGCCAGGCCGGGCTGGAAGAGGCACGTTCTCCAGAAGGAAGAAAGCGTGCTCCGGGTGGGTGGGTGCCGGGCAGGTGGGCGGATGTTCCGGGACCACTTAAAGGTCGACTTTAAGAGTGCCTCCATGGAAGAAGCCGAGCAAACATAGTGGCAGCAGGGGTGATGGGCATGTGTGTCCCTCCACAAGGAGTATGAAGGGAGGCAGACACCGCACCACTCAGGAAAAAAGTAGGTGCCAAAGCCCTGGCTGTCACCTGGGAGGGGACTGTGGAGGGACCCATCTCATGCCCTTGTTGCCCCCGCCGCCTCTACTTTTGTTCTCGTTCTTGGCTTCTTCCATGGGGGCGCTCTTAAAGTCAATCTTTCAGAGCTGGAAGACGTTTTGTTAGATCACCACCAACTCATCGTTGGGAGAGGCGTAGCCCCTGAATACACGAGAAGTCTTGGGCAGAGTTCTCTGACTTTTAAAATGCATCCGTGCGGTGTTTGCCTCCCTTCATGCTCTTTGTGCATGCCGGGAGCACCTTACTGGAGCAAAAGAGAGCGAAGTTGACTGCTATGAAATGAGCACCATGGCTTCCCCTCTTGCTCCTCACAGTTGCCCTGAGCTGGTGCGGTTCTTTACTTGGGCAGCCAGACGCCCGCAGCAGCGCCCGCAGCAGCAACAGGCAGTTCCGCCCGGGCTCTGCTCAGGTATCCGGCTGGGGCTGTCAGGAGTTGCTACCGCCGGCGCAGCTCCGAGCGGCTCCAGTCCCACGTTGCCTTGGGAAGGGAAAGGCAAAACCAGGAGCCTCTGAGCCTGAGCCTCCGGTGCCACTGCTGCCGTTGCAAAGCACCGCCGCAGCTCTTCCTTTTTGCCTTTCCCTTTCCGAGGCAATGCGGGACTGGAGCCGTGTGGAGCCGCGCCGGCAGTAGCAACTCCTGACTCAGGGGGCCTCCGAAGGGAGGGGAAGGAGGAGAAGAAGTGGGGGGAAAGAGTGGGGGGGCAATTCCCAAAAAATCTTGTGCTGACCCGGCCCGTCTGTCAAATTTTAAAAGTCAATGAGGCCCCCGAACCAAAAAGTTTGCCCACCCCTGCTCTATATATTCTTTTTATATTAAACTATCTTTTTCAGGCTTGTTTCAAAATGTAAAAGAGTGTAATAGGCACATGCCTTACAGATGTTGTTGGTGTCCTGTTGAACTTTTAGATTGCAAATAAAAAAGCTATTTTGCTTTATTGAATTTTGCAAGCAAATATCAAAGTTCTCTGTGCATATTGATGGAAAAGTTGCCTCAAGCCAGTTGGCAAAAGAAGTTACATTGTTTATGGGCTAGGTTGAAGCAAATCTATTGCTACCGATATCAAATTTTATCTTAGTTTAGTTTCATGGTTGTGCAAGCATCTGCTGAGACAAGCTTGCTTAATCATTGCTTCCATTTTTTTGTTATGGGAATTAGAAATATGTTAACGATTCACTTCGCTGATTTTTCTGGAGTTGGGTGATAAGTAACATTTAGCATGAGCTATCACTAGATTTATATTTGTGGCCTTTGCATGGAAAACAAAGCAAATAACATCATTCAATTTCTCATTGTTCTCTATGACAGAATACTTTCAATGTTTAAATGTTTTATTCTACCATTTAAAATACTATAGCACAATTTCTCACTGTAACAGTTTTATTATGTTCAAGTAAACATTTCTGTCTTTTTCTAAATAGGAATCAGATGGAAAATATTTTAGTTTTTCCCTCTCAAGCCAAAGAAAATTATTCACTCATATTTACTGCCAAAACAGTATGTTGGTGAGGAATTATTTCCTTCTAATATTCAGTTTCATTGTTATATTATAATGCATCTGTTTTAAGGAATTTTAATGTTTTAATCCAACAGCTTCTCTTAATCTCCATGTAAACTGGATGATGTCATAATGGGAAACTAGGTCACAAACTTTCCATGACATCATCTTTTTTAAATTTTTGGATGCTGTTTCAAAGTATTAGTAGCCCTTGGAAGTATTAAGAAATGTTTTAATGCCTGCTTCAACAGAATGTTCAACTGTTCTGTTCCTTTCACTCTCAGAAAAAAATTATCACTATCCAACAGCACTTCAACTGTCCTTGACTTACAACAGTTCTTTTAGTGACATTACGATGACACTGGAAAAAGTGACTTATAGCTATTTTTCACATGGCCATTGGCAGCTTCCTCATGGTCATGTGATCAAAATTCAGATACTTGCAAATGTCTCATATTTATGATGGTTGCTGTGTCTCAGGGTCATGTGACCACCTTTTGCGAAAGTAAAATCAGGAGGGAAGCCTGAGTCACTTAATAATCATGTCACTAACTTAACAGCTGCAGTGATTCACTTAGCAAGTGTGGCAAGAAAGGTCATAAAATGAGGAAAACCCATTTAACAACCATCTCACTTAGCAACAGATTTTGGGCTCAATTGTCATCGTAACTCAAGGACTACCTATATTTACAAAAGCTGTTTGCACCAATGCTAACAGCCAGTGCTGCTCTTGATAAATCTTTCTAGGAAAATTTAAAGTAAATTATTAATAGATTAAAAAAATACAGTAGGAATTGACATACATTTTAATTTGTTCTTTATTGTTTTCTTCTCTTCTAAAATAAAAGGATACAAACAGCTGGATATTTGGTTGTGCAAACAGTACTTCATCGAAGTGGTAAATATATTTTATTTTTATGAGATTATGAAAATAATTATCTTTTAAAAATATTTATTTAATTGAATGAAAAAACCCCTGGAGAATATATAGTACCTCCACAGGTATATGATTAGATTTTTGTCAGAAATAAATAAAATATGTGTTGTGCGGTCTCATTGAAAACCATTCTTCAAAAAGGGAAATTGGTAAAAAACTTGCTAATTATCATCCAATTAGCCTGCTAGATATTTCTTCTAAGTTTATGTCATGATCCAGTCTCAGGACTCAGGTTCAGAATCTAATCTGAAGAAGTTGCTCTGTCTGAACAAGTGGAAGGGTAGCCTCAGCAGACACTTTATTTCAGATACCTTTTGAATAAATTAAAAAAATTGAAAGAAGAAACAAAATCCTTTCATCCAGAACAGGCAGGTTTTTCAAAAAGGACATAGCACATTAGATCACTGCACCACTTTGAAGATTCTCACTCAGAAATATACTAACGTACACACAAAACAACCTCAGGTTTTACCTCTGCCTTTTATTCAATTGACAGATCCTGACAATGGGACAAACTAGTGAGGGCAGATGTTGATAAGTGCCTTCTCAAACTAATAATAATTAGAACCAGAGTAAGAATGGCCCTACAATTTTTTTTGACTGATTCTATTTTATTGGAGAGAGTTAAAACAAGGCTGTTTACTTGCTCCTTTCTTATTTCATATTAATGATATTGTAGCAGCCATTAAGTCACAAATATTTTTTACCCCCTCACTTAATGGAGGAAAAATTTCATTGTTCTGTTTTTATTCATGACTGAAGCACCTTCAAATTCTAGATACATAACCTTCAATACTAAGTAAATAAAATAGGCGTAAAAGTTTAGCACATGTAAAAATTATGTAAAATTAAATAGAATTAAAATTAAATGGCATTTGCCCAGTATTGGGCCACATCAACAGCATTTTCTCTCACCAGCATGAAGTCTTCCTCCATACATGTTGAAGGACATTGTATGCTCCATAGCATATGTGAACTGGATTGTTCTTCTCCACATTCATTGTTAATGTACAATCCATTGTGGTATTGGTCAGGTGGAAGGCATTATTTATTATGTCCTCTCCTGCTCCAATTACAAGGAGTTTAGGGCCAAATTATAGCTGGTAGGTAAATTCAAGGACTCAGATATCAAACAATTAAACAGTCATGTTGCAAACTGGTTTCCAGTTGTTAACAATCAGGTTGCTACTTTGCTCTGCTGTCATTTAAATTTAGAAAGAAATTACTGAAGTTCTGAGTTGTATCCAGGGGTGGGATTCTTCTGGTTCTGTCCGGCTCTGTAGCAGCGGTAGCTCTGAAGAGCAGCAGACACAGAAACAGTAGTTACACCGGTCGGATCCCACCCCTGGTTGTATGTATTTTGTTTCCACCTTCTTATATACAATATCTTTATTACTTTAGTATTATTATTTTATTGTATTTTATGGTATATTGTATGTTATGACTTGTAATTTCAACAATAAACTTACTTGCTTACTTAAAAAGAATAATAAAGCCGTCTTAAAACAATAAGGTACAGAGCAATATAAAACGTAATATAAAAGATGGCATCCTAGGGAGAATTATAGTAAATAATAATTAAAAAGCTACTAGGGAATTATTAACAGAAGAACTGCTGTAGTGGGAGTGGCTAGGCATAATACACAGATGTCCTCTACTTCAGATCAATTGTTTAACAATCATTTAAAATTATGACAGTCTTGGAATGGTTGCTGGACATAAACCATGGTGCTCCTCCCATGATTACAGATCGCAACCTAGGTGCTTCGCAACAGACTGGCATTTACAACTAGTTGCCAAGCTCCTCCCCCCCTTGATCATGTGATTGCTATTTGCAATTTTCTGTGCTGGCTTCCTCAGAAACTCAATGAGGAAGGTTGCAAGCAGAGGGGACAAAGGGGAGCCAAAGTTTTCAGGATTTCAGCTGCATTCCTGCAGCCCCATGACGGATTTCCCCTCTGTACATGGAAAGAAGTTGAAACTCTTTGGTGAGCTGCAGGAAAGTTTGAGAGTGAGAGGACTGCATGCGGCTTGAATTGTGCAAAACAACCTTATCCCATGTTTTTTCTTACTAATTTATCCCATAAACCTTCCTAGCCTTGTGTTCTACAGTTCTTTTCCCATGGCAGTCCATACCCCACTGTTCACAAATATTTATCTCCCAAGATCCCCCTGGTCCTTCTCTGGTGTTTTCAGCCTACTCTGCTTTCCAAACTGTGTTGCTCACTCTATAAATTTAGTCCTACCTTTCTTTTAGTCCTTAGTTAGACTAACTAACTTTAGTTAATTCTACGTCTCTTTAACTGCTGTCATCTCCAAAATGTACCTGCTATAATGATACCTTGCTTCTTTCTTTCCTAGCTTCGTCCTATGTTCATTTTAAAAAAATTGTAATGGTATGTTTTTTGCAATATGTTTAAATCCTTTTCATTATAGATCAGAGTTGAGCGCAAGCTGTTTATTAGTAAATACATAGTCCACGTCTTGTGCCTTTGCCTCATCGCAAATTAATACCACAAAATATTCTTTTCCCTTTTAAAAAGAGAATCTTTTTTAATAATCACAAGTAAATGCTTTCTGAGAAACTGCTTCCTGTGGACCCTCTGTTTTTACTATGTCTCAGCTGCTATATTGAGTATTAATAATAGTGAAATCAAACTTATTTTCTAAATTTGTTGCTCAAATGAAGAAAAGCACTAGTTTTGAATGGATTATTATGCATTTCATTCTGAATACATATGAATATTTTGTATAATAATATTTTCATTTTAATATAAATTTCGCAGTCTGCAAGCAATTGATTTGTCTTGGAATGCTGAGTTACTACCAACGGTTAAGGTATTTATTCTGAACCTCAAAAATAATACTATGTATGTGAATTTATATGTCTGTGACTTATTATGAAAAGTATCATCTCAGTTTTAGTATAATGTTTTGTTCAAATGTTTTTATAGATTACACAATTAAATATAATTAGATAATCTTTAACCTTAATTTCCTATTCAGGCGTGGTTGTTATTTGCTTTGCTTTTTAGATTGTGACTTTGAAACTTCAAGATTATCTATCTTTGACTCATATTGTGCTTCATGTCCCAGTGGTTAATAGTATCAAGGTAAAATTTATTTTTTAAACAGAATTTTCAGAAATGAAATGTGAGTGTCCTAAATGAATTTGCATGTTACCTCATGGTGAAATTGCCACAGGATTAATCTTATTCTGTTTGACCAATAAATGCTGTAATAAATGCAAAGAGTTGATGTATTTATTTATAATGGATTAAGTCATTGCTTGGTTTCAGTTACAATGGTAAAGGGTCTACCATTGGAAGATCTAAAAGTTGAGAAAAGATTTCTATGCAGGTACATAATTGATCAAGCCATCAGGCTTTATTACTCCAGCATCTGGATTAAACAACCACAAGTTCTTAATGACATACTGTATTTGGTATGAATAGAAATCCACATATTAGTTGTAATATGACAATAAGTAATTTTCAAAACTACAATCCTCAAAACACATGCCCTGACACAAACTTACATTATTCTTGTTACTATTAAGTTTGACAGGTAGTTCTCAAATTACAATCTTTTGTTCAGTGACAGTTCAAATCTATGATGGCAGTGAACAAAAGGCTTATAACCAGCCCTCAAAATTATGGCCATTATAGTACCCCTGTGATCATATCAACAACATTCAGGCACTTGGCAATCCCATGGTTATGAGATCACTGACCCTTGCTGCCAGCTTCCCACAGGCAAAGTCAATTGAGAAGCCAGCAAGTAAGATCACAAGTGGTTCAGGTTACAGCCCCCTCTCAGCCTTTCTTTGCTTACATGTACCATATCTTCCTTCACTGTTTGCTCACTCTCACCCATCAGTGTTCTACTTCCCTAGCCTTTCTGCATTTATATTCACATGCACCCACCAGTACCATACTTCCCTATTCTCACACAGTCATGTGCATAAGGTCCTTTCCTGGCCTCCTGTGCTCACATACACACACATGTGCCCTCTTTCCCTTTCTCCTGTTCCCTGTCTCCCTGCACTCACACACATACACTCCACATTATCTTTCCTCAGCCTCCCTGTGTACATGCATACAAGCATAAATGCACATTGCACCTTCTTTCCTTGGCCTATCTGAGTTTATACTTCTCTGCAGCACTCCCAACTCACACAGGATCTGTGCCAGGGCCTCTGAGAGACTCCCCTTGAAGCACCCTCATGTTCCTTACCTGGAATTCCCTCTAATTATCATGTAATGATCTATGTGTCAGGGGTGTCAAACTCATGTCATCACAGCGGCATCACGTGATGTATTGGGACTTTTTCCCCCTTTGCTAAACCGTGGGTATGGCCAGCATGTCTGACATCTGGCCTGCAGATCAGGAATTTGACAGCCCTATCTTAGGTTATAACAACCAAGAGTGTGTGGATTGCCACCGCTAAGTGATGTGCTCACATGATCTCATGTTTTATAACCACTTTCTTTAGTGATGGGAATCCTGGTTCCAATTGCTATCACAACTTGAGGACTATTTATACTTAATAATAAGATAGATTAGCAATGATAATATGTTGCACAATTAAATAAAATAATGTCCAGTTCTTGAAACCATGTCTCCTGATGCTAAGTTGATTACTTCCATATATTTTCAGTGAAAAATATGGGCTACTAGGTAATCTGGGGCGATTTAAATAAATATTTTATATATTTGTCCTGCAGTTTACTTTGGACTGTGAGTTCTTTAATGAAGTTTCAAGAACAGTGCAACTCCCTGTAACTCATCTTTTTACTTTTGGTAGGTTCAATTTATTGCATTTGACACATTGATTAATTTTGTTTCTTCCTTCTCCAATTGTGATTTTTAAATCTACAATCCTACATAAACTTCTCTGAACATTGCTCTCTCTGAACTCAGGCTTGTTTTTAGATAGATATAAATAAGATTGGGTTCTTGTCTTTTAACAAAACATTTTTATAAAATGGTTTAACTTTTTCCATCTTATTATTTATGTTTTATTAATAAGGAATGTGTGTCTCTCTATTCAGCTAACATTCAAAATGTCTTCTAAAAACCCATTTTAATTTTTATATTTTGTTAATTCTAACTAACAAAGCAATAATTTCTGCAGGATTTTCTTCAAGCAAAATCATACTAAATTCAACTGGCCTTATTCACATTGTTCAGCTCCAACATTTTGGTCAGGTATTAATTTTTGAAGTGTATACATTATTTGTTTGGTAGAATCTGATATGGATTAGCTTTGGGAAACAATACTAATATAGTATGTTATCTTTCTTTAGATATATCAGGCTTTTAACATCTTTATAGAAAGTAAATGCCAGATTTTCAAAGGTAAATTTATTTTCTGAATATGATTTCATATATTAAAATGCTTCTTGTTTGTTACTTGCACATTTTGTTGCATTGTTATTTCTTAAATCAGACTTGTATCAAAACAAAAGAAAGTGAGAAATTACTGAAACCAGTAACAGAATAACAAAATAACGAAGTTGGAAGGGAACTTAGAGGTCTTCTAGTCGGATCCCCCTACTCAAGTAAGAAACCATGTAACATTTCAGACAAATGGTTGTCCAGTCTCTTGTTAAAAACCCCCGGTGTTGGAGAACCTGCAACTTCTGAAGGCAAATTGTTCCACTGATTAATTGTTATAGCTGTCAGGATTTTTCTCCTAGTTTAGATTTAATCTGAAAATATGTACTTAGGAGCCATAAACCAGTCAGTCAGCAGGGAATCCCACAAGTAGAGGGCCAACCACTGAGAAAGTTTTAACTCTTTTGCCTACCTATCATAGAAGAGGGCTTATCCTCAAGACCGCTCCAGTTGATATCAGAGTTCAGACAACTCACAGATAAGGAGGAAATCCTTATATTTTTATATAAAAATGGATTTATTAATATGTTGAATTAAAATTAGAATAAATTGGCAACTTGTGATATAACTGGGTCAACTATGCATACACTCATTCTCAAGATCCAGCAATATATTGCCCATTACAGTCAGAAGTTGTAACAACTGTTGTGCCCATGTGATCACCTCACTTACATCCCTGCTCTTCCCGAAAATGCAGCTTGTTAAGTGAAGCATGGAGTGACTCAGAGGCCCTGGGAAGTCTAGCACAGGCCCTGCCCAGGGCCTCCCAAGGCCTCCCCCACTCCTGAAGCCCCCTGTGCTCCACTTCCCACTCCTCAGAATCCTTGCATGCCTTGGGCCTGCTTCTCACTCCACTGGGCCTAACAACCTCCTCCTTTTCCCGTGTTTCTCATCCCACACTTATCTTTTGAAAATCCTCTGGTGCTTGAGTTGGGGAAGGAGGACAGGCCACTGCATTTCTGGAAAATGGTGGCTGCTTCCAAGATCACATCACGCAACCCAGCAATGGAGTGGCCTGTCCTTCTTCCCCAACTCAAGCACCAGAGTTCCAGGACTCTTTAAAAGGTCAGTGCTTGTGGTGAGCCAGTGCGGGAGATGGGGGAAGATAGGCTGAGGGGAAGGGCTCTGCAACATTGGTGCAGTCTGTTGTAATGGCAACTGACCGTGGGGGTACTGCAATGCCTGTAATTTGGGGATCAGGTTGTAAGAAACTTTTTGGGGATCCACCGTAACTTCAGGATTACAAGGATTACCTGTAATGGGACCTCTACACTCTCCTTTTGGGATTGGGGATGTTAGTAAACTTCCGCAACTCCAAAAGGAGATTTTTAAGAGTAAATTGCTACTGTTCAAAACTGTTCTTTTGGTAGGAACTGATTGGCTATTACCCAAATCCTTATGGTTTGTTGAACTTGAAGTACTTAAAAATGATTCATTTTGTGCTTTCATTTGTCCCTTAAGAAAGAAAACCCAGTATATATCAACTTCATATACCATGGTCACATGAAGATTTCTTAACATTGTCAGAGTAAGGATTTCTCATTCTTTATTTACATTGTTGACATATAATAGGCTATAAAGTATTTTCTGCTTATTTTACAAAATAGATATCTTTTACTTCTGATAGATAAGCTTCATGAAAATTGTAAGTTAAAAATCCAATTTACACACACGGTCATTTGCCTAAACAAGTAAGTAAGGGGAGTCAGGCAGGGCTACATACTGGTGGTATTGTCTTTTAACTTGTATACAAGTAACCTTGGCTTCTGATAGAAATTGGGACTGGATTTCTGGTTATAAGTCATTATGGTAGTAAGTTGAGGCACCTAGATGACCAGACCCAATTTTAAGACACTGTTGTGGCACTTGTTAAGCAAAATGACCATGGTTGTTAAGCAAATCCATGGTTGTTAATCATGGTCATGAATGGAGCCCATTCAAGAATGTCAAACTGGAATAGACAAAAACACTGAAACAAGCAAAAAACATTGCAAATTGAGACCAAGTGACAATGCAGCCAGTTGTAAAGGTGAGCTGATTGTGACGCACCTGAAATGCATTCATGTGACTGCCGGGGGGTGTGTGGCACAATATTTTATGATGGTTAGAAGTGCTTTACGGGCCATAAAGCACTCATTCCAGTCCTCTTGTAATCTTGAATAGTCATTAAGCTGAGTACTATTTGAATAATTTATTTGGTTTACCATGAAAACAGTCCTAATTTTCTTCCCCCAAAGCTAGCTTATAGACTTACCACAGCTTTTGTGTACTGATGATGTAGTTTTCCTATCTGAGACCTTAACTCAGGGATGTCAAACTCAAGGCCTGTGGGTTGAATCCAGGCTGTGATCTGATCTAATCCAGGCCATCCTGGTCTACCCAGTGCAAAGAGGAAAGATCAGCCCAGCATAGCTTCAGCCCGGTCTACCTGGTAGACAAGGAAAGATCAGCCCAGTGTAGCTTTGCCCCGGTCTACACAGTGCAAAGAGGAAAGATCTGGACAGCGAAGCTTTTGAAGAGGAAACATGCCAGTAGTTGGGGGAGTGGAGTCAAGCTGGTTCACACGCATCCAGTTGGCCACACTCACCCAGTCGGCCACTCCCACCCCGCCCCCCTGAGGTCAACCACAGCCCTGATGCGACCCTCAATGAAATGAGTTTGACAAAAAATTAGTAATAAATTTTGAAAAAACTAAAAAATGAAAATCCAAATATTTGCTAAATGCCCTAAGTGGCAATTAAATGGCTATGTAATTGAGCAAATCAAGGCTTTTCAGTATCTTAGACTTATTTCACAGATTTCCAGTAAGAGAAGTACTTATATCATTCAGAATCTTCAGATATTAATTTTGGCAACTGGAACATTCTGATTGGGAGCGAGGGAAAAAATTATCTACCAATGAGCCCTTCCAGCTCTTATACAGTATGTTCATATGTATGTTGTATGTTTTATATTGTGTCTCAAATATAGTCCTTTGTTGAGAGTGAAAATAAAATTTGACTATTTTTTTAGCTATTGTTTACAGCTTAAATATTGCCCATAAACTTATCCCTTTTGAGACTGGATGATTATTTCAATGATAGGTAGAAGAGATATTTACTAAAGAAACTTCTATGGATTTTCTGAGGGAGTTCATTTATTTATTTTAAAGTTCTTTTTGAGCTGAATTGGATTGGATTACTTATTTGATTTGCCTATTAAGAGATGGGTTATGGGATGAAGAACTATTTGTCACCTCTTCCTAGTTAACCTATTTGTTAACTAGGAAGAGGTGAAGAGATTATGAAATTGTTTATACTTGTCATGGTGCTGATGGGAAGTTGCTTTCTTAGGGGGGAGGGTTTATTTATTTTTGCTTTCTTGCACCTTTTTTCCTTTTTTTAGTTTGTATTGTTCCATCTAAAGCAGTTATAAATATATTACAAAATAACAAAGGTCCTTGCAGGTCCCCCCGAACAAAACACTGTAAGTCCTTGTTTTATCAGTTTTTATCAGAATTTGTGTTATAGCCTAATGATATGTTTGTGTGCATGTGTGCATACTGATGCACAAATACATGTATATGCATGTGATGTTGAATATTCCCTATCAATGTTTTTCTTCATGGGAATTTTCCTGAAAATATTCAAATGTATACATGCAGATACACACAGACGCACGCACACGCACACACACAGATAACACACACACACACACCCCATGGTGTGTCTGATTATTTTTATTTCTGACCAACATTAAGCAGGGTTCATTAGAGTTTTTAATTAGATTGTACCATCTTTTTAAGTTTCTTTTGAAACTAATGGGCCACTTATCAAGATATGAAACTGGACCATTCTAGAGGTTTTTGTCATAAAATGTATTATTGTCTTTTTTGCTTATTTCTTGTGAGCTGCCAAGAAGTTTTTGTGATTGCAGTAGGATATACATTTGATTAAAATATAATAAATAAAGATGGAATTGCAGAAAAATATTTAGTGTATACTTTTTTAATTTAAGTGTTAATGCTTCATATTGTTGTTCCCTCATGACTGTAGCATTTATGTCCATCTTAAGTTTGATTTCTGTTTAGATGTGATACCTTGCTTTGCAGATTAATAGTTTTTAAAATTAACTATTTTAGGGATCATTTGACTGAGATTTCTGCAAAATTGCACATTGCACAGCCTGAAAATGATTCTACAGTTCCTTTGTTGAAAATGTATTCATCTTCAGATTGTCAATATGAAGTAAGTAAAAACTGTAAAAATGTTCAATTCCTTCTGTTTTTCTTGAGAAAGTAGCCTATATGGTTTATTTTATAAATTTGTATAATACCTTAGTCACAAAGTACTTCTATGGATTGTATCTAAAGATAATGAAGATCTTTTGAAAAACTAAGGTTAAATGATCTTTGCTTTCATGTTCAATGTACTGTATTTGTGATTTACAGGCTCATTTTAAATGTATAGGGTTCAGTGACCATTCAAAGTTGCTAGGGTATTGAATGAGTGGTCCTCGAAATTTTGACCATTGCTGCAGTCAAACACTTATGACATCCTGTAGTCATATGATTGCTGTTTGTGACCTCCCCTGCATGCTTCTCACCAGCAAAGTCAATGAGGAAGCTGGCAGGGAAGGTTGCAAATTGCACTGGTCAGTCCCCCAGGCTTTCTGTACTCATACTGCATTACCCTCTTCCAGTTTTCCAGCACTCACAGCAGCCCAGCAGCCCTTCTGCTTGCACCATGCCACAGCACCAGCCTCCCCCAATTTGTGCGTGAACTGCGTCAGTTTCCTCCACACCTGTATACGTACATGCTCCTTTCCTGTTTTAACAATCTGCATGTCTTGGGGTTATGATGGCAACTGGGTTGTTGGGATTGTCATTGCTAAATGATACAATTACGTGACATCTCACTTTACAACCACATGGCAATCCTGATCCCCATGTCTTCACGACTGGAGGACTATTTATATTTTATTTCTTAAAAGATAGCTGTACTTCTCTCTGTGTGATGAAAGGATAAAAGCAGCAAGAATGAAGTATATCCATCGCTGTATAATGGCACAGCTGAAGCCATGAAACTAAGATAATGTGCTGGTTGACTTCTGGACTAGGAAAAGCATTAATGGCGGTGATGTTTTATTGGGGACAGGGTAGGGATAGTTTCAACCTAATGGTGAAATAGATGAACTTGTTTCAACCTAATGGTGAAAAGCATCTCTGGGAGATGTTTGAACTGAGACACTCGATCTTTGGAAGATCTGATATGGAAGATAAAAAAGACCCAAAGAGTATCTGATTAGTATTAACAGAAGGACTTCAATCTGCACTTGGCAAAAGACTGGAAGCTTCAGGTAGTTATATAGGAGAGAGTGGCTTTGAAATTCAACTTTCAGAAGTAACATTTATTTTTCTAAAACTTTTTAGTAACTTTATATGGAGATTACTTAAAATGTGGATCTCTGTGGACAAGGAGAAACTGAGGTTGATACACAATCTAAACTAGAAGGCATTTTGGTACTATGGACACTTACTGTATTTATCTTTCCAGTATTTTTTTAAAAAAATTTTATCTCAAATATTTGTTTTTAAATAATAACTCTTCGATGTATGTGTTAAACTAGGTAACTCTCAAGACCTCTTTTCTGCAGGTCCTTGGTCAGGTAAGACTTTATTTAATAGACTATACACAATTAGGTTTAAGTAGATTAAGAGAAGTAATTTAATTGATCAGTTACTGTTAGAGTAGTGCGTGTTATTTAAGGCTAAATTGTCGGTTTTAAAGGTTAATCATAGCTTTATAAAGCCCTAAATAAAATTCATTTACTAGACTTCTCTATGGAAGGTTTGTGCTCAATAGATTTTTTAATTAAAATTACGTCCAAACAATGAACTTGGGATATGGACCTCCAAACAAATTTCAGCAAGTTGTCACATCCCAATATTCCAAAAAGGTTCACTCCAGCCTATTTATTACTCATTACAATTCTGAAACTTGATAAGGCCCTCATTTTACCCAGGCTGCGTGCATTGCCTTCAGCAGTCCTTTTGGGGTGTTTAAGGGTACTCTTGTGCACCTTTGGTTATGCCCTTGCAGTGCAATAGAAACTCTTAGCTCTCATGCTGCTCCCTATATTCTATTTTATTTAGTATATCTCTTTTATTGTATCTGGCCTTGAACCAGATCAATCATAATAAACTGATTGATTGAGGAAATAGTATGAATAACTGATGCTTCCAGGTGCTTTTGAGTACACATATACTAACTTTTTCCAACAAAATATATCAGCAGGATGGAACATAAGCCTCGTTATATTACAAATAAGCAATTATGACTTGGTAGAATCCATTATTTTCTATTAAACTAAATAATGTTTGCCTGCCTGCTTTAAGGCAGGATTTAAAGTAGTTGTGTAATTACTGTAAAAATACTGTGGGAGGGAAGTGCACTAAGGAAGATAATTTAAAATGGTGAATTTTTCCAAGCATGCGCACCTTTGGAACCGGATATATGAACATCTGCTGTACCTTCTCTCGTAGGAGAAAATTTTTGCATATTCAAAAATCATTGAACTATGCTTAATGCAACTATTGAAGTAGAAATTTAGACATTGAGTAAAGCAATGTTGCTTCTTTTAAGTAAAAAGCATAAACTGAAAAACCCAATCATATTTCAGAAAGTTTCAGCAAGCTTGTAAAATAGTATTGTCACTGCTACAATGAAATTTACTGTGAATTATTTAAAGCCAGTTTTGTACGATTAGCTGTTTTAGAGCAGGATGCGACAGCAGCAAAATGGCAGTTGATATCATCTGTTAGTGTCTTAAAATTTCTAGATTAGTTTTGTTTAAATCCACCTTTCCTTAATTTAAGCATTTTCCACACAAGTGATACCATTCTAGATTCTTTAGGCACACATATCACAGTCCATGTTTTTTTTTAAATAAATGAATGTTAGATTCTGATCACTCAGCAGGACACATGGGTCTAATGTGTCCCAAAGGAATCTGAACATTTCCAAGTTTTTGTAAATTTCTAACCACACTTTGATATTAATATTTATGCTGATCTGATCTCATACATATTGTGATGGAATTCCCATCTGAAGAATCAGTGGAAGGGAGTCTTGGCAGCACAGAGCTTTCCCAGGAAGGAGGTAGTATATTCCAGAGAGAAGCTCAAATTAAGAAACTGCAGTCCTGAGCTAGAATCTCTCGGGATATATCTAAGAGGCTAGAGGGTTATAGCTTTAGCTTGGCAAAATTCTATCCTTTAGGTGTAAGCAAATAAAGGATTGGACTCAATAGGATTTCACTCTGCTGTTTTGGGGCTTGGGCTTGACTCATACACATGTGGTTTTCCACAACTCACGCTATCTTGCTATTCTTTAATATTTACATTGGAACATATGATCTTCCTACAGATCAGTGAGAAAATAGATTCACTTCCTAATCTTTTTCCCGTAACAGATTTTTGAGAGTGAATTGATTAGGCTTGGAAATCTTTGATGCAAGTCTTGCTCTTTCCATGAATATTCAGGATGGTCTCAAACAAGACACTTTGTTATATCTATACAGAATTGTAAGAAATACAGGTGGAACGAATTTTCCATTTCCATGTTCTTGTTTTATTTTTTTAAAAAATCTTTGTTTTGTAGGTGATAAGATTCCATGGTGGCACTCTTCCTATGTACATTATTTCTAATATTCTTCTTGCCTACAGAAGACAGTTAAGGTCCCTAGTGTCAACAGGTAACATTACATGAAAAGATTTTTAAGCAAGGTTTGTTTATCGCTTAAAAACTAGTTCACATTGCATTTAATTTTATGTTCCTTATGTTCTGTGTCATTGCTTTTAAAACAAGGCTGATATTTGTTTGGAACTATTTATAATGAAACACATCTTTTTTAGAATGTAAAGAGATAAAATGTTTATATTACTAATAATTAGTGAATTATGAATATTTCATAGCTTATCTTATTTTAAAATTAGGTTTTTACAACACAAGTAGTCCTCAAGTTACAATGACAATTGAGACCAGAATGTCTATCACTAAGCAATGCAGTCATAAAGCTGAATTCACTTGACTGCCTCTCTTAATGACAGCAATCTCGCTCTCCCTTTGTTGTTGTTGAATCCCACCGGTCATTAGCCAAAGACCCATCCTGAGCCTAGCGGTTCCTGTCTAGATCCCTCCCAGCCTTGAGCCCCAGTTCTTCCAAAGTAAGGAACTACCTCTCCTGCAATGCCCTCCCAACTGCCTTTAGATCATTGCGGGGGAGGGGAGAGCACAGGGAAACGGGGGCCTGGGAGTGCAGGGGGCTAAAAGGGCAGAGATGGGGGAGAGATAGGCAAGTAAGAAGAGTTAAACCATCCCTATGATCATGTGATCATAACTTTAGGGACCACACTTAAGTACCATTTGTTCAGTACCTCTGTAATTTCAAATGATCACTGAATGAATTATCATAACTCGAAGGAATAAAGTTTTTGAAAAGCACATTTCTGAAGAATTGCATTGTACTGGGCTTTTTAATAAGACTTGTATACTGGACATGGAAATCTATGCATCAAAATAAACATTATTCTAATTTAAATATAGATATTTAAATACCTGGGTTTTAATTCTTTTCTGTTTGTGCTCAAGTAAAAACATAGTCTGAAAAGTAATTGATTTCAATAGTATAACTTTTAAGCATTTTCAAATGTATTCTAAAAAGATAAATATTAACTTTATCATTTACATTTGTGAATACGTGGTTTCAGGTATTTTTTCTTTTGTTCCAGGTCAGTGTTCAGACTTTGTTCCTGCACTTACTAAAGCAGCTAAACCTTATAAAGTAGAACCCATAGCATATATGATTAAGTTCTTGTTGGGGTATGTTTCTTTTTAATATTTTTAATGTATTTTTATCTTATAGTTACAGAATTTTTCTCACACTTGCATTTTTGTACCTGTTTATAACATTAATTTTGCAGCTAAGATTAATTACTAATTTTGGTAAATGCAAGTAATCAAACCAAATAACTATCATGCTATCTATTTTTTTAGACTTAACTGGTTCAAAGCACTCAGGAATTCAGAGTTCGATCGTGTCACAGTCAACAACCAGGGCTTGTGGTTCCCTTTTGTATCCCTGATTCTCTTTATGTTTGGGACTGGCATAGCCTATTGGGGTGGCGTGCTTCTTGATTCGTCTATAAGGCTCTTATCTTCATTGCACTTAGTTTTGACAAGGTAAAAACCAATAAATAAATGCAAAATGTTTAGTGGCATTTCTGGAAACAACATTTGTCAATCATGCTGAGAAGTATACTCTCTCTGCCATGTACAATAATGCAAGAATATTTTCTGAATTGACATAATTTCTTTTTAAATTGAAGTATCTGTAAATATGACAAGCACAATGCAAAGATTTCTGATGTAGTCCCTAAGCCCTAGTGTTGCATAAACAACACTCTTTGAACTTAACGGATACTAGTATTACATACAAAGCATTATATCACTTAAAAGGCAACAAGAATCAATTATTTACTACGCTTCTGCGTTCTACAGGCAACTCTTGCACAAAAGGGAAAATGAGTCCAGCAATTTGATAGATTGGAAATGGGTCATATTTTCTCTAAGTGGCTTCTTTTCTAAGAATGGAAAGTTAACAACACTTTGAAGTCACACACACACACACACACACACACACACACACCACAGAAGAAAGTATTGCTTCCAACTAAACTATTTGGATGTGTCTAAGAGATCACCAAGAATAGAACTTGAAAATATCTTTATCTTTTAATCAAACAATGAGATAGTTAGGCAGAAAAATCTCTCCCTCTCTCTGTTTAGGTCTTACTCTTTACATTGGAGATACAAAAAGAAAATTAACTGGTTTTCTTTTCTAAATGATTTAAAATTCATATTACATAGTAATTTTTTGCTAGGCCAATGAAAAGATCACAAAATTATGTGCAAACTTTTGAATTCTCCAGAGTTGTTAACTGGATGAGGGCAAAAAGCAGAAAGGATAAGTAGTTAATTCTGAATCTTAATATTTTCCCACTTTTGGCATGTGAGAAGAGACTTCAGACATACAAATTTTGTCCTGTTAAACGCCTCAACTCAAAGAAAATGCCTGTCTTCATTTCTTGCTTCATTGAGAAGCAAGAAGGATCCTTCCACATAATCTAGCTGTGTTCTACTACTCATAGTTCAAAGACGCTATGGATCTTTGTTGGGAATTTTATGAAATTGAAAAGTTGCGACTTTTAAAACCTTCTTGTTACTGTTATCAAGAAAGTTATTGATGAAGAATGTTATTGATCTTCCTGAAAAGTACTTCTGAATTCAGAAACAGTCTTTTGAGCAAGGCAGGATATGTTATGCATAGAACGTATTCATAAACAGACATGTTAAATTTTAAACTCATTTGGAAGAACTATAACAATATATATTATGAGTAAAATATTCTACCAATTAATTGATAAAATCCTCCTACCCTTATACCATAGGCCAAGGATAGGAAATATAGCAGCCTCCAGATGTTTTAGATTTCACTCCTATCAGCGTAGGTAGGTTATCAAAGCTGCTACCAATTTGTTAGGAGTATTGAAGTTCAGCCTGCCTTTCTATATTTGTAATTTAATTAAAGGGTATTTTTAAATAGTAATTCTACACTATGTAGAACAACCAGCTGTTCATTTTTATCTTTTCTGGGTGTGTGGAAAAAGGATAAGATGGGATGGGATGAGATGAATGAGATAAGACAAGACAAGGTAAACTTTATTATCATTTTTTCTATAAAAACACTGGCTCAGATTTAAAAAATGAAATTCGGATGCCTGCTCTCAAAAGAAAATAAGCCAAAATGTTGAAAATCCACCCATATAATGATAAACTGTGCGACAAAATTATGAAAGAGCTAATTGTAGGAAAAAACACATTATATCTGTATCCCTATGTATTTAGGTGTCATGGCAAACTATGATTAAGAAACTTGGTATTTCTGATTTGGTAAAGCCAAGGTTGTGATTAAAAAGCAATTTAGAATGAGTCTACTGAATCTCACTTTTATTTTAAAGTAATAAAATAATAGAAAACAGCCAAACAGCTTTCAACCAACTTTTGAACTTTAGAGTTCTAAAAAGTTAGTCTGCAGCTTGAGTCACAACAGTACTTACTATCAACTCTGACATTTACATTAAACCACAGTTTGGTATGAAGTTGGAACTCTGCCATTTTGCTTTGTAATATAATATTTTAGTTCATAAATGTGTTTATTTTGTATTTGTTAGACCCTCTGGACTTCCATCTCACAACAGTCTGATTACCCGATTAAGGTTTTGTGTTGCGGTTTCAATGTTTTTTCTTAGCTGGACTACCTGTGGAGCGCTGGCAATAATGATGACTTATTTTCATTATATATTCAAGGTATTTAAACAATAAAAGTTATGTGATATTATACAAACATAGTATTGACATTTTTAGGCTACATGTTGGTTAGTTAATTTCCCACTAGTTTATGTTAAGCAGGGAAGATCATTGGCTTTTGCTAGTTTGAGCTTTAGATCATCCACCGCACCCAAATATGAGCCTATGTACAACCTATGTGTAAAAATTTACTGCTGATGTTGCTGGTAATCAACACAGAAGTGCCTCTAGGGAAAAATCAGAGGGATGGAGAGCTGTTGGATAATTCTTAACCAGGTTATACAATTGATCCCTTTGCCCCTGAAATAGGCTTATGCTCCCTTCTCATTAATCTTTCTATCCCAGGAAGAAAGCAGACTGAAATGTTTTAAAAAAATAGATTGTAAATAATATAGCAGTAAAATTCCAAAGAAGTTCTAGGTATGCAGGGATTATATATGAATTCAGTAATATGGAAAGAATGTAAAGTGCTCAAACAATATAAGGAAGCCAGAAAGATGTCACATAATGCTTTAGAAATATTTAAAGAGTAAACCATAGAACAAAGAAACACAGAATAGTAAAGCACAACCATTAACTTTAGGAAGCTATGATCATAAGCATATAATGTTGTGGCAAAACTAAATTATATCCTTGTTGTTACAGGTTGTTAATTTCCATTCAAGTTTAAGATCTGAACTAAGTGTTTGTAATGCGGTAAGTCCTTTTGTATGCTTTTTGTGGTTGGCTTAAGAACATTTATGTCTTAACATATACAAAGTTCCTGTTCTTGCCTACTGCTTGCAAAATATCATTACTCAACATTGTTTCATGGGGACTTACTATTCCCCCCCGCCATGGTGAAAGGGTGAAAAAAAAACCTCTATTAAATCAAGTTTAGTGTGCTACTCTAATCTTGTGTCTCCAATCTCCTAGCTTCTTTTTAAGAAGAAATAGATTACCGTATTTTTCGGAGTATAATAAGATACTCAGAAGTATAAGACACACCTAGCTTTTGGGGAGGAAAACAAGGGTGGGGGAATCTGCCTCTGCCTCCCAGTAATTTGCCTTCTTGCAGCAAACAGCCTGGTCAGCTTCAGCACAACCTGATTAGCACAAGCAGCTGATTGTCAATTGGATTGGCCTCCCGAGGATCAGCTGTTTCAGGCTGCAGAGATTGCCATTGCGTATTGCCACCTCCGTGCGCCCCATTTTGGGACTCCGCATCCCATTTTCAGTCTCCGCATGCCTTGTTTTCGGCCCATTTCGGGCAGTGGGGATTGGAATGCCCCATTTTTGGCCCATTTCGGGCAGTGGGGATTGGAATGGGTGGAAAATGGAGCATGTGGAGGCCGAAAACAGGGTACACAGAGGCCAAAAATGGGATGCGAAGGCCTAAAATGGGGCACGCGGAGGCAGCAATAGGCGATGGCAATCTCTGCAGCCTGAAACAGCTGGTTATCAGGAGGCCGATCCAACTGACAATCAGCTGCTTGTGCTAATCAGGCTGTGCTGAAGCAGACCAGGCTTTTTGCTGTTTGCTGCAAGGAGGCAAATTGCTGGGAGGCAGACGCTGAAGGGTGGGGGCTGGTGGGTGGATGGGCTTTGGTAACATTCGCTGTATAAGACGCACAGATATTTCCACCCACTTTGGCGGGTGGGGGGAGAGTGCATCTTATACACCGAAAAATACAGTACTTGTTTTATTTTAGTGTTTCCGGTGCTTGAATAATTCTTCATAACAATGCAGGGTCACGATAGCACCATTAGGGGAAGTCCAAGCATTTGAGGCCACTAAATATCATGAAAGGAAGTGGGGCAGAAAATAGCTTCATAATAGACAAGTCTTAAAGTTGCCAGGTTTGAGGACCCCTGATCTAAAAGACACAATATGTAAGGGAAATGATTGGAGAAAAGGAAATGATCTATTTCTGTTCAGGGCAAGGTGGTCCCTTAGAACACACACAAAGAGCTATTTATTTATTTATTTATTTTCATTTATTTTTAGTATCTCCTGCAAAAATTTGTCATAGAATGTGTGCTAAGCTGCAAGAACTAAACAAGATGGGGATAGCAATTAAAAATAATAATAATCCTTCATCAGGAAGGAGTCGGATTTGAAATAAAACAAGAATATATAATCTCATGAATTCAAATGACTGAATTATGTCATGCTATTATTAAATTATTTTGTGGACATTTCAATTTACTCTTTATACTTGTATTAACTAATGCTGAAAAACCCGTGAAATATATTTTTATAGCCTATGAAGAACCCAGAACCTAAATCAGATGATTCAAAAAACGAAGGGATGAACAGCTGCAGATCAGAGGATTGCTCTTCAAAAGCAAGAAACTCATCTAGCACCATCATGGCCAATGACAACATTATAGATAGCCTTAAAATGCATGTCACAGTCATCAACTTAATCACATGGATTGTGCTTCTTAGTTGTCCATCTTTAATTTATTGGCTAAAAAATATCAGGTAATCACCCCAAATTTGCAGGTTTTATTTAAAAAAAATCTGTTATGAGATGGCTCTATAAGCTAATATATGTACTACTAGAAGACTTCATGAAGTATTTGGATGTGTAGATGAAATCAGTCCAGTTGATTTAGAATGTGAGAGGCAGCCACAGTAAATTAGCAGGCAAAGAACTAGAGAAAAAATATTTAGAAATTAAAAGATAAAATGGCTACAAGAAAACTTAGAACCACAAGTGTTCAAGTTTAGCATACTAGGAACCTATTTTGAAATGAAAAATCCATTATACATATTTTTTCATTATCCTTTGTGTTTTCCTTTATATTAGATATCATATCAGACTTGATCCTGATCCATGTAGATTTGTTGCTGTTGTTCTGATAGTCATTTTGGGTATAATCATGAATACAAGTACTACAAAACTTAAATCAAGGTACTTTAATTATCTTTGTTTTAAATTGTACTGCATTGAACACTCTTGTATCAAATTGTTTTTCCTTCTTATAGTACATAAATAGGAATTGGATCAAAGGAAAGAAGAATCTTTTAGCTTTCAGAACTGCTTTAGATCCAACAAAAGCTCTCTGCAGCAAGAGGATGTAGATGAGATTTGTTTATTTTCATCTTGTTCCAAACTTATTTTTTTCTGTTTCCTATACTAAAAATAAACTGAAAATTTCAGGGTCATTTCAGATCATTTTGCAATTCTGCTAGCTGACAACTCTTATAGTTGATTATTACAGAAGATAAAGAAATTGTATGAATTGCTCTCTTATAAACTGGTGAGGGAGGGAATGGAAATCTATACTGACTTTATACATTTTTTTCTTTTAAATGTCAGCCATGTGTAGATGGTTCTATAAGCTGAGGTGATACAATTCCAATTTCCCACCTTAGCATATTTTAGGATGTTTTTCTGCAAAGTAATTAGATCTTGAATATTACTCCATAGTATTGCTTCAATAATATATGTTGTTTATTTGCTTTGTCAGCGTTTCCAGTTGATTACCCTGTCCACCAATAAATTGTACCTGCATCTCCAGTCAGCATAACCATGTTGGCTTGGGAATTGTGGGAGCTGAAATTAAATACAATGTGAGATTAGGAAAGACTAAGACTAACAAAAGTACTCATACCTCTTATTGCTTGAATTGTTTTATTTTATTCTCTTTCTTTCTCTTCCTACAGTAAATTATTGAAGATTGCATCATATTTTCCACTTCTTTTCGCTGTTGCTGCTGTAGTTTTTGCACCTGTTTATTTATATCAAATGCCATACTTTGTAATAATTCCTCTTTTTTTACATTCATTATGCAGCATTGTATAAAAATCTTTAGCTGGTCAAAATAGTAATAAATGTGGAAGTATAGATAATATAGGAAAACCTAAGCCTTATCTTCTATCAGTGATAGAAAATGGAAAGGCTTTAGGTTTCCAAAGGGATATTTCATGATAAGAAAACAATATTTTTACTTACTAATTTTTAACAGAAATGGAAATGCATAAATCTGTTATTCAGTAAGCACTTTGTTCTTAACACTGAGGGAAAACATGGTTGCATCAGTTCCTTGGTATTGAAGCAAATGGCTTATACTTATTTATTTTAAAATTGCAAGTTTATATGTCCGGTATACTTCTGTGTACTTACTTCAGTCAACAAGTGACTCTAAACAGACAATCAGAAAAAAATGAATTTCTGATAAAAATTATCGCAAGTTCTCACCCCATTATTGGCAACTGATATAGTTCCTTTGGGTCTATAGTAGCTATAATACTAATGTGTCACGATTGTTGGTGATAAATCCAAAGATATATCTGAGATTGCAAATTTATGAGAAAATTGAAAGCAGTATGAAAAAGTGTACTCAGTATAACATAATTTACAAGTAGATTGTATGCTATCTCTTCTATTAAAATCTGAAGTTACAGATTATTTCTATGCAGAGGAAAGTCTGCCATTATGGACAAGCATATAGAGAGTACTTTTGAATCACCCTCCCATATTTATTTTGGCAATAATACTGTTGGAGTAAATAAGATATCAGTATGTATTGCAAAACAACTTCATACATCCAAAACCTTTTACATAGTTATTTGAATTAAAGAATTGAAGAATTAGACATCCAGCCACACTAGAGCTATATACAGAGATTTAAAAAATGCATCCTAGAAGTATTTAATTATAGTAACATTTTTCTAATATCATTCAGGTCCATCAGAACTCATCTTAGTGTAGAGCTAGGCACTTCTAGTTCATTGGAAAAATGTTTCAATATTATTTGGATTGATAAAATGTAGGCATCAAAGAAATCAATACTTATCTGTGCACAAAGAAGTTTTAAAAGGACCTGCCTTTGAGCAGAACTATGTTGATATTACATATAACCATTTAAAAAGCAGCAAATATTTTGGTTCTTTAAATAAAACGTATAAGGCATTTTATCTAGAGATAAATTTCTGCTGCTTTTGCATATCACCATGAGCTTAAAATTTGACAATCATTGTATATCTTAGTATCTCTTTTATATAATGGCTCATTTCCTCTTCCTGGAAAGATTCTTCCTTTAAACAAAGGTATAATACATATTTTCCTTACTTGTATCCACTATAATTCCTGCCTAAAGTGCCTTTGGTTAGTTATTTGTCTCTTTTGTTTATCATTCTTTTTTTCTAATTTATTAAAAATATTTATTGACATGTAGTGTAATATTAACAATTTAGTAGATTGTACTATGTGTAATACATGTTACTGTCTTTACATGGAATGCTTCAAGGTCAAGACAGCGTTGGTATTCAGACATCCTTTTAATAAGCTATTAAAACATTCTTAGGTAAGTCTCTTGAAAAAAAATCCTCCAATATCTAATTTTCAACTGATTTTATGGCACTAAACTGAGCTATCTGTGTACTCTCTGCCCCACTTACTGAGTGACTTAAAACATCTGCAATGAATTTCTTTTTTACTGCTATAGTGGGCTTTTTGCCAACAGCTGGCAAAGCACAAAGTAGTGCAATCTATTATCAGACCTCATTCAATGAAGACTGACCGTGGAAAGCATTTTTATGCCTCTCTTATCTGTAAGCTAAATAGAATTTTGGCAGCGACCTTTTGTCTCTCGTCAGTGCTACAGCAAGGGAAATGGTACTTGCAAAATTATTCATTCTTAAGCAGAAGCTAAGAGCACAAACATTCTCTTCAAATTCATGCATTGGCATCTCCTGGGAAGCTTGTCATTCTAATCAGATGCCGATGAAAACTTCAGTTTTTTAAAGGTCGTATAATGGGTTTTAGTAAAGGCTCTGTTTGATTGTATAATTTTTTATCTATTTTGCAATGCATATGGTGTGGGTATGTGTGTGTCATAATAGCTAATATTTATTAACATGGTGGAAGCTTGTTGCATACCAGCTCATAATCTATGGCTATTCAGATTGAAAGCATTAAAAGTTAAGGAGCTATCCAATACACTTTAGAATCTGTAAGACATCTCTGACAATCTATTGTGGATTTATGTATTACTAGAAAATCAAAGCTGCTGATTGTAGTCTGATACGTGTATATGAGAAATGGTTGAATTGAGAAATATCTAATCATATTCTTAGTGAATGGATGCTATTTTACATGCTATGTGAATTGTGTATACTTAGGAAGTATAGTACTTTTATTATCCTTTTTACATATTTTTGTACCTGCCTATAAATTAATAATATATAGTTTTAGATTATATATTGAGAGTAGTCTTACACTTTTATCTGAAATGTTTTGCTTTTTTCCTATTTTGGATCCACTTCTCTTTTTGCTTTTAATTTGGATTTACAGTGTCCATTAAAAAAAATAAGCAGTGTAATTGTAGTCAGGCTATTCAAAAAAAAAAAAAAGCCCATTTGAGTGCTTTCAGATTTTCTTCAGTTAAACATACAACTATGTGTAGGATTGTAAGTATTTCAGGAAAGTAGTCTAAGGAAATTTTAAAATGAAAATATCACTACTTTTTAATAGAGTCTAGGCCAGGGGGGTCATGCTCAGGCCATGGCCACTGCAGCTTCACAAAGGCAAAAAAATGTCACGATACATCACATGATGCGATCGAGTTTGACATGCGTGATCTAGGCAGTCTCCAGGAATCAACAAGAGCAGCTAAATTAAATTCTCACAGTGAATTAAACATCATCATCATCATCTGTAGTAGTAGTAGTAGTAGTAGTAGTAGTAGTAGTAGTAGATGGCACTGTTACATTAGCCAGGAGAATACAATGCTAATACAGAGTAGTAGTTTGGCTGCCAATTTACTAGCTCTGTTGTGGTACACATTCAGGTGCACCACAGGAAGGTGAGCTAGGTTTGCCCTAGAAAGAAAGATAAGCAGCTCTTCCTCATCCAGGGCCCACTCTTTCCACTGGTGCTACCTTGCAAATGGGTGCCACAACTGGGAAGGTTCAGAGCAGCAGGAATCTGATCACCTGCACGAAGTACCAGCTCATCTCCACACCAAAGCAGTATCCGTTTATCTATTTGCATAGAACATGTTTTCAAACTGCTAGGCAGGCTGAAGCTGAGGCAAGTGATGGGAGCTCACCCCACAATGCAGTGCTAGGGCTCAGACCACTGGAGCAGAGACCATCTCCAGTTTCACAAAAGCACTGACCCACCACACCTCAGTTTGAGAAAATGCTTTTTCCTAAAGATTCAAATTGACTTCTGTATATCTTTTGGATCAGAAACCAATTTGGAGATAAGAACAGTTTAAGAATAAACCTTTGCAGGTGTTAACTTTTTATTTTGAATTCTTACATGTGCAATTGGCATGGAGGATTAAACAATAATGAGAACTGTCGGAGAAACTAATAAGAAAAAAGGAGGGACCAGATTCAAATTTTCCATGTCTAGGGCAGGTGATTAAGAGTGGCTTTTTTAAAAATTCTGGTTCCTGAATAGCAACTTTCTCATGTAACTACTGTATTAAAAATATGAGAAACTGAGCAGGCTTTCAAAAATTTCAGAAGGGCGTTGAAAGGAGGGCGTGTTCCAGTTATTCAGCTCTTGGAATTATGCATTAAGCATGGATATAGTGGGCAACTTTGATTTTTGAACCTGCTAGATTTTTTAATATTGTTTAGCCAGTGGGCTATACATGCCTCAAACATTTATTTATAAATACCTCTATTCAGAAATGCTAGATGTATCCTTAAGCTTTCAATCACCATTTCTGATCTCTAGTGCCTGTAAACAAATGAGTATCTGCCAAAAAAAAAAAAAAATCTAGCAAAGAAATAATTTTCAGTAAAGGATGACCTGTTTCCACACTTGGATCTCAGACTCATCTTGTACGATATGATTGATAAAATTGTTCATTTCATAACACATAGCTCTTAACATCTGCATGGGCTCTGTACTGTTCATGCAATAAAAGTATGTTTCTGTCCACTGCAATATAGTCTGATCAGTATGAAATATTTTAGTCCCTACGTAGCCTAGATTTTAGGTTAATTTTTTTAATTTTGTAACTTGAGAGATCCTTATTCAGTTGCAATATTAATCTTTTGCTTCCTTTTTCTAGAAAATAAGATAATGCAGCTAGATCAACATTAATATTAACTATTTTAGAAATACATGAAGTTTGTTATAGAAGTATTTGTAATTGTTAATATATTTCTGGATATTTATGCCAAGGAAGTATGATTGAACAACTTGCCCATGCTTTGGAATGGGTGAAGAATATAATTTTAGTTCATTTTTATAGATTTTTGAAACTTGATGCTAATCTGTGTGATAAATATTTATGGTGAGAAACATACTTGAAATATTTTCATTCATTTAAAAAAATGTAGCTTGATTATTCAGTAGTTGCATTTTAATGAACCAACTTGCAAAACATTATAGTTAATGTTAAGTTTGGGAAATGAGAGGCTGAACCAGGGCATGGATGCAACAAATACTTTATTAGAATAATAAAGGACTGAACGTGCTTGCCAAGCCTGGAACTGGCTCGCAGCGATCAGCAACTGGTTGGACCCCGCAGCCTGCTTTTATAGCTGGCTGCTGGGGAGAACCAACCAATGAGCGAGGGGGCAGCCGCCCCCGCAGCGCGAACGGACCTGAGTGGGAACTCCTTAGAGTTCCAGGGACATAACACCCCTTTCCCCCAGATGCGAACACGCATAGTCTTTAAGATAGGCCGGAGGTTAATGCTGGCGCCCAGAACGGCGCAACTCTGGTGGGTTGTCTGTCAGTTCAGAGTCTGTAGGGGAAGGCTGGATCGGTAGGGAGTCACGAACGCATCCCTCGGTGCGGGTTGGCTCGGGACTCGTAGGGCTGGTCACTGGGGACGAGCTCCTGTTGACTGGTTCGGACTGGTCAGCCATCAGGAAGTCGCTGTCCGTGTTCGGATTCCCTGGATCGGCTGCTGGTGTAAGCAGGTCACCGGAATTGGTGCTGATGTGGGGTTGATGCTGTGGCCTCGCCCCGGTCTGTAATTCTGGGTCACTGCTGACAAGAGTGCTGTGGCGCCTCCGCAGCTGGTCCAGGTGCCTTCTCCAGACTCGGCCGTCCTCCAGTCTGACCCAATATGACCTGGGTCCGGTGATGGCCACGATCTCGCCCGGGATCCATAGAGGGTCTCCAGCGAAGTTCCTCGCGAACACGGGTTCCTGTAAGACAAAATGCCTAACCCCCGATGTGGAAGCGAGGGGAGAGTCAGGGCAGTAATGTGGGTGAAGCCTGTCCAATACAGTCCGCAGGCGTCTGCCCATCAGGAGCTCAGCTGGGGACTTATTAGTGACTGTGCACGGGGTTGCGTGCTGGCTCATCAAGAAACGGGAGAGTTTGTGGTGCCAGTCTTCCTTGCTGAACCTAGCTAGAGCTTCTTTAGTGGTCCTAACGGCTCTTTCAGCCAATCCGTTACTGGCAGGATGAAAGGGGGCCGTGAAGATGTGGCGGATGCCCAGGTTGGCAGCGAAACGGCTGAACTCGGCTGATGCGAACTGGGGGCCATTGTCGGAAACAATAAGAGTCTGGAAGCCCGTGTGTTACAAACAGGCGAGTTAATACCTTGGTAATCGCTTGTGTGGTGGTTGTGGATAGTTGTGCCACATCAATCCACTTAGAGTAGGAGTCTACGACCACCAGGAACATTTTTCCG